TTTATTTTTGTTATTGTGCCTTAAGTGTAATATAAAAATAACATACAAATTAATTAAAAATTACATGAAAAAATAGTTACAATAACTTATAATAATTATTGTAGGACATTAACATATAATAGTAATTATTTTAACTTAAAGTATTTGTAATATAAATATTTGATTTTAGTAAATTTGATTATTTCGTATGTCAAAGTTCAAGATTATTTGAAGATTTACTTTAACTTTTCTTAGAATGTTAAACTGACTTTGAGACATGTTGATTATTTAAAATGATTACGTTAAAAATACTCAAAATAATATTCCATTTCTAAGAGACATATACAAAGTGTTAAATTATGAAGTTGACATAAATGTAACACATGAAATCGTTATAAAAATAATAACATATAAGTTGTATGTTAATTTTACATTAAAATACTAATCAAAACGTGGTAACAAGAAAATTTTAACATATGGACGCATAATTTTTTACTGTGCATATATGTAAAGTTAATTAAAGTTATTTAAATAGCGCATAATTTCTAATCGTCGCTTGAAAAAATACAATGTGAAAATTGCTGATTTATTATATTAACAAAAAATTAAAAAATCAATATCATATTATCGCAATATATATATTGCAGATTGCACATTACATTATAATCCAAGTATCGATTTTTTTGTGAACCAAGAATTTAGATTAAATGCATTTTAAATAAATTCCGCGGGATTCTATGAGTCTCTTCCTCTTTCACGGAGAATTTCCTTCGGAAATTTCGGAATTAACATTACTAACGTGCTGCGCAAACTGTGAAAAGTTATTTAACACACACAAGAGAAAAATTTCTTCCTTTTGTTCAAAAAAAGCACAATATCACGACTCTCCCGTTATAGTTGAAAAAGGAACAAAGTATCGTAATAAAAAATGTTTCGACTTAAGTAAAATTAATATACTAATCAAATTAATATATCTTATTAAGAACGATACACTCACAATTTATTGACGCGAAAATAATTAATCTCAACTTGGATGTTTCTATAATACTGTCGTTTCTTGCAAATCACGTATTGACATAAATATCGCGAGTGTGCAAAACCGATTATTTCTTAGATATATTTTCTTTCTTATCTCTGCAAATATTTTTGTAATTATTGTTATGTTTACATTAAATTTCAAGTTTTGACAGAGAGAATTGATTATTTAAATGCACAATTTCGTCTCACTTATATCACAAAGTAATAAATAAATAAAAATAAATAAATAATATTTTTTAATGTTAAGTAACATGCACTTTCTGTATTCGAATATTTGAAAGATAATTTAAAAAATATTATCCTTGATAAAAATTCTCGTTGGCCGTGAAATTATTTTATCGCGTTTCAGCTTATGGCGTAATATAGATAGACATGTCAAACTAAATTGTGGAGAGTAATCTTCATCGCGAGGATATAATTATTTCGTCCATTTACTAATGGCACGGCCATTAGTATTGCAGTCCCGATAATTACATTCCTAATAATCAATGTTCATTCATAAAAAGCTACAGTTATTGGCGTTTGCAGTCACTAGCTCGTCCGCAATGTCTATCGCATTTCTCGGCATTTAATCGTTTATTCATTATTGTTTGCTGTATATTCCAAAAGCGATCATCCTATCGTGAGATTTATCGATTCGCTCGACAAATTTCGTTGCGATTCCTGTCGCCGACACGCGCATCGTAAATCATGTTAAAAGCGATCTGGCTTCCGGCGTTTGATTCAGATTATTATCTCGAGCTCGTAGTGGCTTTCATGATTCTCCTCGATGCACATATTCGAGATGGAAACGCAGAATTTTAGTAGTATAATCACGTAATAGCGCATTTTGCGAGTAAATGGCACAAATCTAAATATCTTCTCGATAAGAGGACTAAATTCGTATCGAGAGACATTTTGAAGGAAAAATCAATTTTATGTGAATTAGAAAAAACTACGTTTTTCTATAACATTAAGCTCACCTCTTCGGAAAGAAAGGCAAAAGCTGTAGCATTAATGGTAGAATTAACGATCGAAAATGTGAACGTGTTCCTTTTTCATCGCAAATGTCTCGACACGATATCCACGCGATAAGCAAGAACACGAGCACGCGTCGTTCTTAATTAAAAACTCATGATATCATGGAGAAAGATCGCATTATGATGAAACGAAACAGTATTATTTTCTGTCATGGATATTGTAGGTTGCAATTTTTCTGTACAGACAGATTTCATTGAAATTCTTAAAATTATTAATGTTTATATGTATCATATCATATAATATATTATTCCATTTTAATTAATCATAATATTTATACAGTATTGCAATATTAATTTTATAATGGATGTCCTCTACTTAATAATACAGGAAATTTAATTTTTATTTGAAGTTGATGAATTTTCCAAAATGTATATCTTGCTGTTAAGAAATCGACTTGAAGCAAACTCTTTAGTACAATCGATTTTACAACGATGACAAAACTCAATAGAAAAATGACGTAAAGGAATTGTTGATGTTCCCAACTCGAGATATCACAAGTAGCACATAAAGAGTTAATTGCATTCTGCCACGTTAATGCGATGTTATGCGGAATCCATAGATCGATTTCGCGGCAAACTTCCAGAGCAAATCGCCCGTTTTTATTATTAAAAATTATTTTTCAATGCATTATTTAAAGTAAAATGAAAAAGATTATTTTTAATTTTTTAAATATCATGGACCAATGTATTTCCACTATTATATTTTATTTTACAAATGGAGAGAAATTTTGAATTTAGTTACTTTTTTTGCAGCTTACATTTGTCAGAATTTGTATAACGCGTGTCGCTGAAATTTCAATTCGACCGTAGAATAAATCTTGTTAGTGCAATTTATATCTTTGCTGGGAAATTTCGCGCATTCGTCCAAAATAATACAGATTTCGTGACTCGTCAACATGACACGCACGTGCTGCTTTCTCTCCTTGGTGGTTCTTGAACAAAATTCCGGACATACCTCGGAAATCTATTATCGAGGAGCGAGTTTGCTTTCAATCTTTCGCCGCGTGTGTGCTGTCTGAATAATTTATTCCTTTTAATACACCGTGTCCCTCATCGTCCCATTCGCTCGTTTGGTGATTATCTCGGTTGTTCGTTATTTGCATAATCCGTCGCGAAAAGTGCATCGCGTCTGCACAAACGATGGCCAGATTGCCAGTAGCGCGACTCCTTTCGCTGTAATCGGACTCGAGAGAGTAATCGAGATGAGTAATCGTCCCAATATGTTCGTGATATCCCATTGGAATTATTCACAGGATATCTATTCCAATTCTATTTCCAATTCTATATATATATATATATATATATATATATATATATATTTAACTTTTCTCTTTTTTACTTTATTTTTAACTTTATTTTTTTTACAAACTGAAAACTCGCGTAATTTGACAATCGTAAATAATACGAGTAAAACAAGTTACAGCGCACAAGCGAGACAGTCAAAGAGGAAAAGAGATACTTCGAGTATCGACATGCTTTTTTCAGAGAAAGAGAGAATATTAGTACACAATTATATATATAAATTAATATTTCTCCCAAAAAATAAAAATTAAATTTATTAACTTAAATTTATTAATTTAAAATTATTAAATTTAATTTATTAATTAGAGTTTTAAGTAATTAGTATTTAGTAGAGTTTAAAATTGAAAGTAAAATTAGGTACATTAAACTTTAAACTAGCTATTCTTTGATAAAAAAATTGTTCTAAATTGAAATTTATTATAAATTTATTATAAAAATTATATATATTAATGACAAATAATCTGACTTTTGACAGTTTCGAATAATTGAAATTGTAATGTCGCGATTTTGGGAATTATTGAAAAATTTAATGCGGGGTGACAAGAGCATGCGTGACAATTTTCTATCTTCAGATAAACTCGCGTGAGAGCAACGCTAGAAGAACATACAAAAGCTACGACGTTGAGAAGCGCTTCTTGCCGGATAATAAATCAATAATTCGTGTACATATGCGACTTCCGACCGTGGGAATAAGCGAGCCGGAGAAAAGAGCATCGTGCACATATGTCACATGATATTTTTTTTTCAGAGCTCGTTTGTCTCCGGAAAGGGTCGATTTGCATTCGATTATGCGACAGAGTTAGTCATTTTTTTGCGCTTTTCTTCCAAATCACTTCTAGGCAGGAAGATGAATAGAATTCGCGACAATTCTTTTTATAGCGTTCGATTTTACCAGATAGATATTTTTCACATAAGCCTTTAAAGTTATTCTCATTCATATATCATCGTGGTAATTATTTCTCTTTTATCGTGACAAATTGTACAATCTATTATGCTATCTTATTTTTTAATATACGTTGAAACAAATTTTATTCTTATTCACTTTTAAAATTTCTGGTCCCTTTATTTTCAATATACTCCATTAAATATCATAAGCAATAACCCGGAAGTTTTGATAAACAACATATGACTTGTCTCTATGCTTATTTATTTGATAACCTTTAAACTACTCTCCACAGCGGAAGCTATTTTTAATCTTGTAAAGGGATTATGTACAGACAGATATTATTAACCCTCCGCTGGAAATAACAGTCTTACATATCATCGCCATTTTTAATTACTTTTTACGCATACGTATTATCCAATTTACATTTCTGATGTGTCTCTGCAGAAAATGCTATTATTTTCATCGTTGCGTATATTTATTTAATTTTTGTTTGACAAAAATTGAGATTATTTACACATTTACATGGATATTTATTCTTTAATTATTATTTCCTTTTTCATTTTATTAACAGTCAGCTGATAGACGCTCGAGCCTCATTTTATTATATTATTTGCGTTTTTTTGCTGATGCGTTTTCCATGTTATATTTAATGTTTTATATATACACATACATATAGGTTATTTGCAAAACATTAATCAAAAATTCTTTATTATTGTAATATGCCCCCTATTTTGAGTGCATGGTGAATAACTGATCTCTCTCACTTTAATTTGCAGAAAAATGAAGCTCGATCTGGACCGGGAAAAGGGCCTCGAGCTCTTTGGCAAGCTGATACGTACGAAAAACATCGAAAGTCTGCAAGGTAATCAGTCCAAAACCGGTCCCGAGCCACTTCATCCAGCCGACTCCAAGCAGAAATTACAGGTAACGACAATAATTCTTGATATAATTTTTAAAAATGTTTGCAAAGATCTCACACCTTTTGGATTCTCACAGTAGTAGTATAGATTTAGTATCTTAAATTGTGAGAAATTTTGACATTTTGACAGAACTTTCCCCATTTTTATTTACGGTATTATTAGGTCAGTCATTTTATTTCTTCCAATTGCTTGCCAGAATTGCCAGAGTTAAATGAGTAAAGGATGTTAGTGAGCTCAATGTGAGAAGAAAAGCAATTAAAAATAAATGTGTGGAGAGTTAGGTTTAATAGTAGGCATTTAACGGTAAGCATTGTTTCTAATTATCAATTAGAGTGACACGCTGACTATTAGAGCGGCGGAAATAAGAACTCCTGGTTACGTGTACCTACTAATAGAAATTTATAAGAAAATTGTCATTAATTTAACAGAAAAGGAAATTTCTGATAATATCACAATTATAGAAAAATGTTTGCACATAGAATTAACGAGGTATAGAATCGTATAATATCGTTTGCTTGGAATTTTTTCTTTAGCAAAGCCTAAAGTTAAACCTAAAATACTTTTTGGTTTTATTGAAATTGCACAGGTAGCATATGTTAAACTTGCCGAGGATGACAAATCATGCATATATAAATTAATTTTTTCGCACTTTTTCGCTGGTGATGCTTTGATCATTAGCAATGTTGAGTAATTTCTCAACGATTAATGCAAAATGCCTTCATGTAGATATAATAGGCGATTCGCATCGCGGTATTTCTGTCGGCTTTCATAGTCTCGTCTCTAAAATAAATACAGTAAACTTTTGCATCTCTAACTACGGTACTGGCCGATGTTACAAAGCCATTATTTTGCATCGGTGGACGTTTCCAGCAGACGGTACCGCAGTTGCAACGCACATAAACTGTCGCAAAGTTTCCCAATTGCCGATCCACTTTCTGTAGGAAAGTAGCACAAGCTCGACACACATACACAAGCAAGATCGTGGTTGTAGCTAAGGCGCAAATTTTATCTAATGCGAAAGCAGCACGCGAGAAATCCGAATGGAGGCTATCAAGCGACACAAGGGACAAATGTAGTTCGTTACGCGATAGTCACTGAAAACGGAAAAGTATTTTGATTGACATTGCTTAAATCATTCCTTTGTTTCATGGAAAAAGATTTAATTGCAAACTTCAATAATTTAGTTGAATATTGCTGAAAAACGTATATTTTATTTCGTGGCAGAAAAAAGATTTGCCGAGGATATTTTTTTTTTTTGCGTAAAGTGACAAATTACGATGTAGATTTTGTCTGCATACATTGTACATACATGCGCAAATATTTTATCGATTTATATTAGATTTGTAAATATTCGTTGTGAAGTTACCCATGTTCATCGAATTAGATACATGTCGTGAATTTTGTCCGAAAGTAAATAGATGTTAAAGTACGCGTACACTTTGTCACACTTCCGTCAAACTCATCATTCATTGCTTTCGCCAAAGTACACGCAGTCTTAGAAATTGTAAGCGTTGCGATCCAACGTGATAAGCGACATTATGCATTTGGGACGATCTTTCGATTAGCGATCCCCGCGTAGGGATTTCCGGTCCCGAGTTACTCTTCCAAATTCATTCATTATTTAGTATATTATATAACTCACTTCTAACGCATAAAATATATGGAATTGCGCGAGAGACGATAATTTAAATGTCCGCGCAGACGATAATATTATTATAATATTAATCTTCTCATATGCTTATAATCTCAACAAACTTAATTAATTATTTTCCAATTTTATATCTTAAATATTACTTGTCCAAGAAAATGCAATTAAAAAAAAATACATATTGAATATAATTAATATTTCAAAAAATTATCTTTTAAAGATGCATCTTGAATTTTCGTACTTGATTCTATTTTTCACGTGTTTAACCTGCATTTGAAAAACTAGATTTTGCAATAAAGCTTATTTTAAAATATCGTTAATATTATCTCAGAGTTTTTCAATTTAAATACCATTAAAGAATAAATGATCTGTTCTAGATTGGTTTTTCTAAAAACAGCAATATTTCTCGTAGACCTCAAATCTTTTTAAAATTTCTGTAATTTCGTGCAAACGCATAAATCAGCGTCAATGTTGCGACATACTAATGCAGATACAAAGGTAATAATTCACGCGGGATTTGCATTAATTTACATCGTTGCATTCTTCCTATTTTGAATTTGGCGACGATACATTTGGCGGATCAATGCCGGATACTTCGCAAAATTCGACATTGATCGTGCAAAATGCATTTTCCATCATTATCACACAATTACGTTTCTCTCTCTCTCTATAGAAATTGACTAATTATAATATTACATCGCGCAGATAATTCGATTTGCTAGGCATTAGAGATTATGCAATTCTTGCAGTTAATGTTGCTTTGATATATCATTTCTCTTTATTGTCATTTTTTATTTGTATTATTTTTTTAATTCAATAACTATTGTAGGAAATGTTATTATAGTGCAGTTATATATAATTAAATATATAATTAAATATATGTGCTCAATGTAAAAAAGTTCTTCTTAATTATAATTATAATCGAATTAACACAAGATTGCAAGATTTTTTAAAATAAATGTTTAAATATCGTAAAGTTACATGTATAATAAAATATATATTATAAAATAATATATACATGTAAAAATAATATATATAATAATATGAGAAAGAAAATATTCTTGAATGAAAATAAACGAAAAATTGTTTGAGCCTCGATTTCGATCCGACTATTCATTTTATTACAATTACCAAAAATGTTAATAATATCATACGATGTGCGAAAGAAACTTCACGATTGCTTTATTTTTATCAGCACCAGCATTTTAGCCACTCTCATGATCAACGTGGGAAAGAACCCCTGGCACACCTGGAGGGTTTCGCGTTTATTAATAACTATCGGAGGAAAGTAGTAAAAATGGCACTGACATTCTAGAAAGAAGTCGAGTAGAAGATGCGACTGTTTTTACAAAGATGCGTACAAACATGAAATGCAACGAAAAGATATTTTGTCGCACTTTCCTACAAAATAATTCGAAATCATGTCCCGCGTACCTTTTCTTATCGCGCTCGTTATATTATTTATCGTACTGTTGTATGTGCTATTGACAATAGTAATTGACGATAATGCACGATATCAAATATCTTTTCGCGATGATTTACCGATTTTTAAAGGTGAAATAACCCGATAAAAATCGGACATGTGTGAAGAATTTATTGTTTGAAATAAAAAATACGATCAAACAAAATTTTTTCCGGTTGATTATTTTTATTGTGAAAAAATTTAGAAAAAATTTTTACGTAGATATAATATTCAAATAAAATAGACCTGTTTTTTATTTAGGTTAATCGTTTTACACACACAGAGAGAGAGAGAGAGAGGGGGGGGGAGAGGGAGAGAGGGGGAGAGAGAGAGAGAGAGAGAGAGAGAGAGAGAACCAACAAATTTATATATTTCAGTTTTTAATCTGTGAAAAATGAGTCACAAATGAAGTACAAATTGCAATTTTGTTTTGATGCAGTGAACTGTATTATTTTAAAAAAGAAAATATGTTTATTTCAACTCAGTGAAGAGCTTATTTTAAATTTATATAATTAATAAGTAAATTGTAAGTCTGATTATTGGGACGATATTAATTGGAATTTATTTGAAATTATTTTCTGCCATTTATCATTAAAATTTGTTTAAAAATGCAAATTTCCTATACATCTTTCGGTTATTGTTTGCAGAAGTGCCTGACGACTCTGGACCTGACGTCTTTAGGAGTTGGCTCCTGCGTCGGGACAGGGATGTATCTTGTCGCAGGAATGGTGGCGCGCAGCGTTGCCGGACCTGGTGTCGTCATCTCATTCATTATCGCAGCCATTGCTTCCATTTTTTCCGGTGAGTGTATCAGTTTAAAAAAAAATTACTTCTCCGTCATACACATTCGACACTTTTAACGAATGCACCGTGTGTGATTTGAAATGTATTAAAAGGTCATACTTGCTTATCGATTGTATTCGCATTTACACCCGTCCCGAATAGTTTGCAAAGTTAATATCAGTGTTATAGTGAGGTTTATCGGAAACGAGATATTGTTGTGTTCTATCTAAATTACACAAGTCGTAATTTAATCGTTTCGCTAAACATCGATTGACGATTTAATCAAAATTGTTTTTCGCGATTGTTTTTTCTCATGGGCTGATTATATCGATTTTTATACGATCGTGATGTAATAATAACAGTGGGTCGCCAATTTTGTATAGTTTACGCGAACGGAATACGAAAACAGGGATTTAATTTTGCTGCAATTCACAATTCTTGTGGTCGAAGAAACGATCATGAAAAAAAAAAGAGAGAAAAGGATGGAAGTAGCCTTTATTCAACGGCAGTAAGGGGGTTGCGACTATTTTTACGAACAATCAATTTAACGATGGACAGCTACGTGTGCGCCAACTGTATCGTGTGGGTGTGATGTCAATGCTTCGACAAAGGCGGATACTCCTAACTAGACACGATGTATGACAATTTAGGACTAGCAAATATTTAATCGAAAGATCTATAAAAATTAAATGAATCTAATCATCAATATATGTTAATATATAATTATGTCTTTTTTCTCTTTGTTCTTTTTTTCAGAATTACAATTTAATAATATGCACGCGTATATTTACATAATGTGTAAATTATAAGGATTGAGATTTGAAATCTTACGAAAAGACTCTCAAGCCCTCGAATTTCTATATTTTTTTGAAAGGTATAAAATATATTTATAAAAAGTAAATATTATAAATATTAATTATATTTATAAAAAGTAAATACAGTTCTTCCCTTGCTATTATAGTTTATATGTCATAAAATGGAAGAATAAAAGAACGATTTGAAAAATGATGTGCACGGAGTTAAGTCAGTCTTCCGGAGAAAATTCAGTTATCTCCCGTAAAATGTGCAACACGTTTCTCGCAATTGTTAGTATACGATGGAGTGACGTTTTTGAGGATTTTCTTGCCGGAGAGTTTTTGCAAGAGATGCGATTCAGATAGCACGATAAGTTAGATATTTTTCTCATGCGTAGAATACAGTACAAGAGAGAATAACTAATCTGTAGTGTGTGCATGACCAGAGATAAGAACCTTATTCTCTCCGTGAAAATATGGATTTTGGTGGCGGTATGTGATCTGGAAAATTTGTCTTCCGGGCGCCCATATATCATGATATAAATCTGTCGACTGTATAAAACCGCGTGCGAGAGGGTTTAAGTCGCAAACACATAATTCTCCAGAATTTCTCTCACGTCTTGAGTGTTTTCGATGTTATCAGATGCGCAGTTGGAGTGTTATTATAGGAGGAAATTTTTCATCAAATCGAAATATTAGAAAAGCAAGTTACAAATTTTTCAGATGAAAAATCTAATGCTTTCCCTCTCTTTCTCTTATATAATTTAAAATTATATTTTATATTTTTAAATATAATTTTAAATTATATATTAAATTATATATTAAATTATATATCAAATTATTAATTTTTAAACATGTTTAAATATAAGAATCGAAAACTAATAGAATTTATATTTTCAATTGTACATTTATATTTTTAATTTTCCATAGAAATGCTCTTTTTTAGAAATTAGATATCGTGCAAACAATTAAAATTGAATTAACGATCTGTTTTACGAATAGCTTACTTTAACAAGTACTTACGTTTCTTTATAGATACTGTTACAGGTATATAAGCACTTGAATGTTACATCAGTTTATCGTTACAAGTATACTCGCGCGTTACCTTACTATTCGACACCGAATTCCGGCTATCGTATCGATAACAGTTTGTCGACTATTTGAATATCGATACTGGCGACTCGCACAAAGCGAGCGCCGAAAATATCCCATCAAATAAAACTTATGATTTATCGTACGCGATATGAGGTTCTAAACTGTAAACCATCGTAAACTGTTTCGTGTGTGTTGCAGGCTTGCTGTATTGCGAAATTGCGAATACAAATTTCAAGCCGGATACAAAGGCCGTATCTCAATCAGACTTGTGTTGCTCGTGTTGCTGGCAGTAGATCCTTTCATCGACTGCAATTTAATACCTTAGCTTACGCTCTTCATCATTTTACGTCAATATCCGCGTGTCTTGGAAGCTTTTTTTAAATTTATAAAGTAATTAGACCAAACTTATAATCAATACTTTTTGCCAAGGGATTTTAATGATGTTTTAACTGCATCTTTTATGAGGAAAAGAAACTTAAGAAGAAAAAAAAGTACAAGATATATACGTTGGAATATATTATAATAAATTGAAAAGTGGGAAAGAAATATGACGCGTTTCAGTTATCATTTCGTTTGATTGCGGCCATCCTCTTGGCGGTAATTATCGATCTAACGGATAAAGCTCTAATTAACTCAGTATTCAGAGGAATACCGCTGCTGTGTGCGCGAATTAATGGCAGGATTAAAGCTAGGGCATGGCACGTCGTGGTGTTGTTTAATTAATTCGTTGCATTGTTAATAAGCAATGTTACTAGGCTACCAATGGCGGACATTACGCAGTAGCTGACCCGTAATAATCTCGAAATCAACGCTTTCATTAGATTCTAGATTCTAGATTCTCGCAAAAGGAATCCTCTCTTCTGATTTAAGAGCAAAAGCAATTGATGCAATTTAACGATAAACTATCATGATTATTGTACGATTATTAATCCAATCTATCTAAATTTTTCTTTTCAAATCTCAATTATAGTTAGTTTTATTCCTCTACATTTTGATAATGAGTTTAATAAAAAAACAATGAGAAATATAAACAAAAAGTTTTCAAATTATATTCTATTTTGTGCACGTACAAGTATTTAAAAATATCAGATGTGATTGATATAATTCGTGATCAATTTATATTTTTTATAATAATCTAACAATGCAGTTTTATTTTGTATTTTTCTAAAAGTACATTTATTGTAGATTATTTACATTCATGTTATGTATATTATATTTATTATAAAAATTAAATCGATATTTATAAATAAACTGATCACGTTTTCTAAATCGTATCATCACAAATTAAGAATTTATAAAAATTGTGGAGTATAAAAAAAGTAAAAGTTTATTATTATTAACTATTACTTAAAAATATGTTAATAATTATTGCTGTGTATTGAATATTTTCTTTTTTATCTATGATTAAACATATGATTTAATATGAAATATACATTAATATTATAATATAAATATGTTATTTTTTAATTATTATATGTTAAGTGTTTTTTATTTATTCGCAATATATAAAAAGTCAAAGTCAACAAGAATTTTGTAATTTTCCAAAAGACTTTTTTTTTCTTAGATTAGGCGATTTTATTTCAGTCTCTAGATCACAATAATATTACGCGACACATAAATATTGAGTGTAGCATCAGTGAAGATTGGATTCTTTAATCTTGCTCTGCCTATATCGTGTATGTCATCAACTAGTAGAAGTAATAGCGGTAGTTGACAGATAAAACAATGTCAGAAATGCAAAATCGGGATACAGTAGTATTCGTCCGCTGAATATATCCGTTCTAGGCAACGTAGTAACAGTTTAACATTATTAAACTGTAGGGAGAGGAGAAGAGAGGGAAAGAAAAAGAGAGAGACTCAGCGTTCATCTCTGAAAAGATGTAAGCGGACGTAAAGCGGATTATATGACATTCATATAGACGCACGCGGATTGGACATGGAGATTTATTCCGCGACGTAATCCGCATTGAAAGGTTGAACCGACATTTAATCAGTTGGTTACATGTTACCGAAGCATAATGATCGCTTGTAATGAAAATAATAATATTCTATTGCAATGCAGAAAATACATCCATACTGCATAATCTGCTTTTAGAAAAGCTTTCATAAAATTAACGAATTTAATACACTGATTATTATCATATATTGATTGTGTTCTAATTCATAAACTTTTGTGATCAATACCATTCACATTTGTTAAGATTTTTATTTAAAAGATAATCGTTTTACAGAAAATTTTTTAATCGACTTCAATTTTTTAATATTTTTCTTATTTATTAAATTTATCGTTAAATATTTTTTATTTGACGTGAGTATGAAATTTGCACAGGATGAGAGTCGAAATAATTTTTTCTTTAATAATTTTATTCATTAATAATTTAATTTATTAATAATTTTTTCTTTAATAATTTTTTAAATTTTTTAATAATTTTTTCTTTAATAATTTCTTTAATTCTTTAATAATTCTCGATAATATATTTCTGGACAAAATTAAAGCATAATTTTTTTCACTTTTTCTTTAAAAGCTGATATTTAAATTAGATATTTAAATTATATTGAAAGCTAATTTTAAATTTTAACGAAAAATTTTAAAGAAAAAGTGAAAAAAAATTATGCATTAATTTTGTGCAGGAGTATATTTGACGCTAATATTTCTCTCGTTTGTTTGGTGTGATTACAGGGGCGTGTTACGCCGAGTTTGGAGTACGAGTGCCTCATACGACCGGCAGCGCTTATATGTACAGTTACGTGACAGTAGGCGAATTAATAGCATTCATTATTGGATGGAACATGGTGCTGGAGTACCTTATAGGTACGAGTGCATGTGCGTGCGCCCTTAGCGCTTGTCTAGACGCATTGGCGAACGGTGCGATCTCCGAGGCGATAGCCAGCAGCGTCGGCACCATACTTGGTGAGTATTCTTTACGCATATAAATCATCAATTCCTGTAATTAGAAGAAGGATTAGAATGATATAGATTCGTGTTATTTCACATTTTTTTTACATTTTGTCAAATATCTCTATTTCACTTTTATACTCTAGATTCGACATTTTTTCTCTGTACCGCATTGCTAAAGAAAGATTAAATATTTAGATTATTTTTATTATTATTATACAATCACACAACACACTGGATAATAAAAATGACAATTTTGGTTAAATATTCAAAGTACGTGGGGGATTCAAGCTATAATTTTCGGAATATTCTATATACTTTCACCTTGGTCTCGGACGTTTCTTCGCGCGTCAGTAAACCTTAAAGTTTTCCTACCAGTCGCTCGTAAAAGCGTGAAACGACGAGTTGTATTCGTTGGCATCGTCGTTGAGGGCGACGTTGTAGAAATTTACGAGCAAATACCCGTTTTTTCTTTATATTTTTTTTGTCAACTCCTGTCACCGGGCTCTCTTGTTTTCTGGCTTAATCGCAAAACGTTCTCCATGTGTCTCTTACAATATGATGAAAAAAAACGGTAATTGAAAATAGCGAAAAGGCAAAAATGATTTTGGCACTTGATGGATGTCGTGCGTAAAATTACGTCAGTTACAAAATTTCCACGTAACTTTAATTGGCGAAATATTAAAAAAAAAACGTGTTAGGTGTTAATAGCAAAATCCGTGTTTTTAGTTTTTCAATTTTTTGATATTAAGTCAAGAGTATAGATTAATTCTATAAAATAATAATGTTCAATATATCTTTGATTCTTGAAGAAACCAAATAGTTGAATGATTAAAGCGAATTGTTTCTATACTATTGAATTATTTTTTTTATAAGACGGGTACATCAAAAGTTAAGTTTTCCATTAATCTTTCGCTGATTTTCGTCGGATAAAGGACGCTAGTCTGAGAGCAAAAAGTTGCTCGCTAGACAAACATAATACGCTCGTTTGAGAATGTCAACATTACCGGGGTGTAAATTCGAGAAAAATCTCTACGTTTGATCCAATTTTCTTGAGCAAACTAATTTATTGACGTGATTAGGCTTTTCGCTGACATACAAAAATGAAAGAATATTAATAATAGCGTTGGATATCATGTTTTTCCTTGTTAGTGGGGTATATCCGGGAATAGCTTATTTTAATTTTTTAATGACAAACTTGGAGATAATTTTTTGCAAAAAAATTTTGGAATTCCCGCGAGTCTTTAATATGAGACCTTTAATATTAAAATATTTAAAAAGGCCATTCACATACGCACATATAAATTTAACTGTTTTTATTATTTAATCACAATGAAAAGTTTATTTTGCAAAAATTTATTCTGATGAAAAAGAGGTCGAAAAGAATCTATTAGCGAGATTAAGATCAAGGATCCTGGGACACCCTTCAAAAAACTTCCATTAATTTACACGCGAAACGCCGCTGGCGAAACGAATTGATCGCGCATACGAGCGCGAATTGTAGACCATTTAATGAGGGTAATTCTCGTTATACGGTCGTTTTATGAATATTTCGCAGTCGGTGGCGCTTAGCAACGACATTAAGCAAATGCTCTCTAATGTGGACATTGATGTTGACGAAGATATATTGAAAAAACGCCGTGAGCACTTTACGATTTTTAACTGTGGCGTTTTTAGTGAAGAAGCTTTACTATTATATAATATATTTTAAAAACAGCTAGATATATTTGGAAATAATTTCCACATAAAAATAAGAAAATTTATTATAATGTAATATAATAAAATATAATAATATAATAATAAATATACATAATACGATATTTTAAAATATTCCCTTTACACACATAAAAACTCCTTATGTGTCACAGTTGATAAATATGTATTATATATTATAATATGGCATACGTAAAATTTATTCAGGGATTTCTCTAATTAAATGTGAATATAAATTATGGCAAAATTAATATTGGCGCGTAAGAGAGAGAGTTAATATCGTAGAAAACTCCTTTTTGCACAATATCCAGTGCATTTTCTTTGTGCTGCAATTCTTTCGGAATTTCTCGATGTCTGAATCTTTTTCCGCGGCATTGTTAGAGAGGAATCCGACGTTAGAATTCGTCTCTCATTAGAAGAGAATGATTCAAGAGCGAGACGTGAGTGATTTTTCATGTTACGACGTTTTCTGCTTGAATCAACCTTTTTCTGTCAGTCAATTTTACGAGTAATTCACGAGGGATCTTCTCCGTTCGTTCTTGCCAGTTTCTTCGTAGTTGTATTCTCGAACACAGAATATTATATTGAATACATTCTATTCTATCGATTTTACTTTCATCGTAAGTTGATACTTTTATTACCCCAATCATTAAATAAAGTATAGTATAATTATATTGAATAGAAATATTTCAATTGCATCACATTTTCTTGTATATCTATAATTCTTGTATAATTTTATGGTATAATTCTTGTATAATTTTATGGTATAATTCTTGTATAATTTTATGGTAAATTCGTTAACTCGTCCAATTAGAAATCTCGTCAAAAAGCTCAATATGAATAATTCATATGATTTTAGTGTTACTGAAATTAATTAATTACCAAAATGATTAAAATGCAAATAAAATTAATATCATTTATTGCTTTGTTTGATGTGAATAAATATTACATAAATATTAAGCATTATATACACATCATTTTTTATTACATTTATAATTGTTATTAGTATTATACAAAGTATAATATTATAATATCGAGCATAAAGTAACTTTTTTGTTATAACGTTTTTGTGCAATGTATTTTACTCGTAATAACGATGTAGTAATAAATTAAAACTTTTGATAGTTCTTAATCAGAAACTCTAATAAATACAAATAATTTCGAGTCAATTATATTATCGTATATTATCGTTATTAATTAAATAATTCTGTGTCAATTATATTACATTATCGCATATTATCGTTATTAATTAATGTCTATTTCATAATTACTGCTTGTAAAAAGAAAAATTTAATTAAATAAGACTTTTTTATGCATGACATTGCATTTTTTCTCACATGATGTATTTTTCACGCAATCAAAGAAGTTTATATAGTTCGCATAAGAGTGAACTTTTATAATATTAACGCATGTTATGAAAACACCACGTGTCCCATAAATCTCGTTTGCATTTTAAAAGTTCATAAGAATAACTCATAAGAATAAGGTAGTCGAGTTTCATTGCCTTTTTAATGCATGTAGCACGTGAAAGATGTTAATATTGACACAGTTCATAAATTTTATTAAGCGCTTTTATGTCTTGCGAAAGAATATGCGCTTTCAGAATTTGCTAGATGTATGAAAATATATCGAAAATTGAATATCTCTCTCTCTCTTTCTCTTTACATTCGATTTGATTATATATATATGTAGATATTTATTACATATATATAGCTACATGTTTATGCATACGAAGAAGGAAATTCTTATAAACTTGTAAAAGAAGCACGGAATAATATTAGATACTTTGAATGAAATTTTAACAATTAGTTTATAGATTGTATAAAAAATTAATAAACAAACTATGCATAAAATTTCTCTGTTCCAGATATTAATATTAAGAATATATTAATATTAAGAATTAATATTAAGAATATAATAAAGAAATATTAATCATTATAAAAGATATATTAAAATAATTCAAATATTAAAGAAAAGTAATAATATTAATAGTATCTCTTGTCCGAAAAATTAGTTGTATTGTATACAAAAATTATGTCGTTTTGATAGTTCGATATAAAAAAGGATTGTATTCTTTGTATTCTGTATTCTTTTATTAGTTTCTTTGTATGTCGCGCTAGCAAGGCAAAATTTCACTGTCAGTAGAAGAAGTATTCGCTGCGACGCGACGGCCGCAAAACTAGTCAACCTTAATTAACTTTTTCTCTCGCGTCGCGTCGGAATTTGCAGATGAGCTTGCAACCCGGCCAGCTGCAAATAATTGCGACATGCGCGAGTGTAGATAATTGCTCAAATCGAATATGTTGCTCGCGTGTGCAAAATTTGTTTCTCGGTCGGATTAATTTTGCCGAATATTTATGACGCCGTAAAAGTTGATCGAGATCTTGATGGAATTGATGCAGATAAAATGATGCAATTGACTTGATTGAAATAATGCAACAAATTCGATTCAATTATCTTTTTAAATAACATTTTGCACAAATATAAACATTTTTTAAACAATATTTGAAAATGTAACAAGAGGCTCTCTTAATGTTTTGCATATTTAAAAAATTTTTTAAATTATTGCAAATTTTTGATACAATAGGATTAAAATCCCCCTTTATCCAAAAAGCTTTTCTATGGGATTTCAGTTGATCTCGATGCTTTTCCGAGGTTTATTTCTCGAACACACTAATCCTCACGATTCCGCCAATCACGAATCTTGTACCTAATCCGCTGACAACCATTCTCTGTCGATTATGTATACCTGTCATGTGTAATTCGCACGTTCCGTGCGTGAGTTACGCATCTCCCTACATACGTTTTGCGATCGCTATGCACGTTGCACATGAAAGGGAAGGATACACGGGGGAAAGGGAGAGTGCATGGATCTGGAGAAACGTCGAGCACGAGAGGAAGAGGGTGAAACGATGGAGTTGCGGTGGAGGAGAGTTTGAGGGGCTAGAAAGAGAGGTGGTAGGAAGGAGGAGGAGGAAGGACAAATGGTTGGGAGGGTGCAAGAGGGGCGCTTGCGCGGATGAGACTAGGTCTGGCACCTGTGGACCTCATCGATCCGAACCGGTTCGCGAACACACAACGACTCCCTTTAACTTGTCCACCTGGATATCGCGGCCGAGCCTTTCCGTTCACGTTATCATTGTAATTCCTTCGGTCGGTTTGCATCGCGTTGTTTTTCAAGATGTAAGCCTATCCTTAAGATCCAGATAATCGTTTTATTCGCTTTTATCAGCAAAATAATTAGCCTGAATTGTTCAATTTTGCAGAATTTTCAATACATGTTATAATTTCTATCTTGAAATAATTGCAAATAACGTGATGTAACAAATTTTAAATTTGAGATAAAAAGCTCATGATTGTAGAAACAATATCAGAAAAAAAAAAGAAACAATATCAATACGATATAAACAGATGAAATATGTTCTATGTACTTGTAAGGAAACAATATTACTAGAATATATCTTAATAATATTGTTTCTTTATAAATATATAGAGCGTACATCTTTTTATCTCTTTGTAGAAAAGAAATTGAAAGTTTACAATCGATGCATGCGCTTTCCGTAATGAACGATTCGTTTCGTTTCTCATTTCCTTTATCTTGCTTTATATACTTGTAGTACTCGCAGAATAAATTTTGCAAGAACAGGATCCGCACAGATCCTTGGATAACGTAGATTTTGTAAGAGGAATAGTATGAGGTACATGCTTGAACATAACACTGCCTCGTAAAATTATTCCACTGACGCTGTTCTCGCGATCGTTAACTGGCAGTTAGGGAGAATACTTAATCAGGATTCTAGTTTCAGCGCGGCTTATGCACTACGACGTTGTTGTAGATAACGGTATCATTGAACTTATCCAACAATGCGGTCATGCTTATACGACATTGCTCACATATCATAGATGAGGAACATTATATTTGCATGACAATTTAGGAAACATTCAGTATAATGAGAGAGACAGAGGGGGGGGGGAGGAGAAATTACATTTATATTTTTTGATATTAATTGTAACTTAATAAAATAAGAAAAATAAACGTCGAGATATATTAAGATTGAAGATATATACGGGGTGTCAGAGCAATCTCTTCCCAAAAAAGCTCTTGTAGCTTACCTCGAGAACTTTTCAAAACACTATAACAAAGTATTTTTTTCATCGAGTACTTCTCCAGTTATGAAGCTTGAAATAATTTTTTAATTTTTACATAAATCATAATATCTAGTAAAATATTCATTTTTTTGTTACCTTACCTTAATACTTTTATGCACAAAATATAATAAGAGAAATCAATTGGTGTAAAGAAAATACATAATTGTTTCGAAAAAAAAATGTAATTTCTAATTGCAAATTATATATTTTTTCTTCGAAACATTTATGTGTTTCTTTTACACCAATTGATTCCTCTCATTATTTTGTACATAAAAATATTAAGGTAAAATAAACGATAAATGAATATTTTACTAGATATTTTATGATTTATGTAAAAACTAAGAGATTATTTCAAGCCTCATAACTTGAAAAGTACTCGATGAAAAAATACTGTATTATAGTATTGTGAAAAGCTCTCGAGATAAGCTACAAGAGTTTTTTTTAGGAAGAGATTGCCCTGACAACCTGTATATGGAAAAATATTTTCTCGCAATATATGGCTTCTACTGGCGGTTCTTTATTATAAAAAACAATTTCGCTATGGATGTATATTTCTCCATATAATCTTTACTGTTAAAACAGCGACATGCAATTTTATTTTATCTATTTTATTATCGATCGTCTACGGAAACCATGTTTTACAACGTTGCTTGATATCGAGGATCGAGATATAAACAATGCATTCGATTCCAAGGAGATAGAGCTTAAAGCCATTGTCCATTGTCAATTGCGCTCGTAATCAGCATTCTTTAGCGTATTTAATGTTTTTATTTCATTTTTTTATATCGTTTACCATGGTTTAGAATAGAGATCCGTCCCTGAAAGTTTATAAAAACATGTCCGACTAATAAATACTCATATAGTTTGTCGATTAAAGTTTCATGCACAATGGGCATCAGATTGCGATGGCAAGCATGCGATTTGCTTTGATGAACAGCGTTACAAAGCTTTTTCCAACTTCTGTAAACCTCGCAATCCTCTGTAAAGCATTCCTTGATATTCGATGTGTCGGTTTTCTCTTCGATTCGACTTTCTCAATATAGCTCAAAGTTCATCCCATTATAAGTTGTATCATTTCAAGTTTAATCTTTTTCGAACTCTGTTATCTGTTGTATTTATATAGCGTGACATTTAATCTAATATTAGTAATTATTTAAATATTTCGAGTAGAAATATCACATCTTATGTTAGAGACAAAGAAAAATTTGCCATGCATTTATTAATAGATTTTTAACTAATTTTAATTTCTGTGTCAATCTTTCGACCAACGTATTGCTCCAACAGTTGTAATTAAACGCAAACGTGCACCTTTGTGCAGACACGGAAATTGAACAGATCGCTTGAATGATCAAAACCGTTTGAATCGTCGAAAATTACCTCTTTCGCATACAACTTGTACAGTAGTACACGGCCTATACAATGATGTAAAGAACACGATTGAACAACAGAACTGTGGAATTCAAAATCAAACCTTCTTTGTATTAATAATTATCGTAGAGAAGAATTAGATTGCGATAACAGGTTATTTCGCACCACGATATAGAAGAATTTAAATGGAAGCCAGTCAGAGAGTCTGTCGATATAAATTATTAATCAGCAATCTCTCAAATTTATCTTAAAAAAACTCTAGCAAAATTGTTTTCTGCTGTTTTAAATAATAACGCAATCTTTATTCATTGCGAAGTAACGTTATCCCTTCTGCAACAATTCAAGACTCTTATAGTATGCCGGAAATACCCTCGTTGTTTGTTTTCTTTGCCAGAGATAGGTAGATAGAAATTGGTAGACATTTATACTGTAAGTAAATTCTGGAAGAATTTTAAATTTATAGTCTTGCAGAGATTAAATTTCTATCAATTTCTTTGAATTCGCTGATTTTTCTGCAGAATTGAATACTTTCTCTCTAATGCTTGAATAAAATAGTGAGCTTTTCGCGTATTCGGAAAAAGCACTATTACTTTTCCGAGAATCACCCGATTGTCTCCAACCATATGAATTATGTCATTTTTTGCTTGTCAGAGAATTTCCGCGTTGGCATTCCTCTTTCATCTCTTACAGAAATATCATGTTCGAGTGAAAGCATAGGGGAAAAGGTTCGAGTAACTTGAGTAAGAATTTAGATATATCTCTTTTTCCACGGGTTTGTTGGATTAAAATGTAACAAGAGTAAAGATTATTGCTTGTTAAACATTTTGTAAAGTGAGATTGGTACTTGAGATAATTGTTTCAATTGAAATTTTCACGTATTCACGTATTCACGTATTTATGATGAGTATTGAAAAAAAATTAACGATCCATTAATTTAATAGCATTAATTTTATCTGTTAAGTGGTTGAACAGATTTTTGTACGAAATATTAAAAATGTGCGACAAAATGTGTAGCATTCAATATTATGTACAGAATAGGTAGTTTTTATTCTGAATTTGCGGAAAAAATTACATTATATTAATAACTTGTTAAAAAGTTGAGTTGCAAATCGCTAGTTAACAGCAATAGAATAAATTAAAAAACATTCAACTCAATTAAATTTAATTAAATTTAACAATGTGTATACGAGGCATTTATTTAAAAAACAAAATTAAATTTAAGGCATTTATTTAAAAAACAACAGCGTTTTTCTGATATTCTGCTTTTGCATTTCTTTTTCTGCCTTTCTGAATTATCATATATCCATTTGTATCTAATATTTAATATATATAAATTTTGCTCAAGCTTTAAATTGTTCTAGGACGGCCGCCAGATTTTCTCGCGTTCGTCATCACGTTACTTATGATGCTGCTAATGGCGGCGGGTGTGAAGAAGTCTCTGGTGTTCAATAATGTATTGAATGCCATCAATCTCGCCGTATGGGTCTTCGTTATGGCGGCGGGCTTGTTTTACGTGGATTCCAACAATTGGTCCGAGCACAAAGGTTTTCTTCCCTACGGCTGGAGCGGGGTAAGTGCAGCATATATGGTAGAAAAGCATTTTTGGCGTAGCGTCTCGAAAAATTTAAAAATTAATAATTAGGCAATAATATAAATCGATAAATAAAAGAATGTAAAATTTCAGAGAAATACGAGAAATGTCGGTTTGAAATTTTCAATTGCGAGAATCACTTAAAATTTGAAAATTTCCGCCTTTTGACAAAATATATATAATATATCTCGCTTATTCGCTTTACAAATTCCATAAAAATAATTTCAAAGGATAGTTAAACAATGGCGATTCGCGGTATTAACGTCAGCAGGCTTTATCGCACGGTTCTCAGCATGGTTGACTAAAGAAAAAAAGCAACGAGAGGCTTCTGGAGACAGGATGAAAAAGCTCTCTCGTTTGAAGCCCTCTCGACGTGTCTTTTTCCAGCTGCTCTCATAGATCTGACCACTCGCATTTGTGCCAGCGGTAGATAAGCTCGATATTTTGATGTTTATAATTAAAAAATTAAAAGCTTCAGAATTAAAAATTTCACAGATACATGATAACAGTAAATTAATTAATAAATTAAAAGGAAAAACTCGTTACATTAAAAAAAATATATAGGTCTAAAATTCTACATCAAAAACACAAAAGAAAGGAATATTAAATTTTATAAAATATTTAAATAGTTGTTAAAAAATTTCTTTAGCATGTCATGTATGAAGCATTTTTTGACAATATATTGGTGTGTCTTTAGCTACAATTATGTAAATAATTGAAACAATATTGAACAGAAAATTAAAAAAAATTAATAATGATTTTTACACTAAAATAGGTTCAAATGATACACAACCAAACTTTTAAAATTATAAATTCAATAAGAGGCTACATCTGTATGCAGATATTATTAAAATCTTTCGAATTCACGCTTTTTTTAGGCTATTAAATTAATTTAGCCATTTAAATCACTGCATTCGGTCGAGAATTTTTTGCCCGCGGCTTATAGTGAAATAATGACAAACTTGTTGCACCGAGTCCAGCTGACAAATGTACCGAAAGACAAAAGACAAGACAAGACATCGCGAGAAAAGGAAGAAAATGTGCGTATGACATGAAAACTGACATAAATAAAATTTGATGCGATAGTCAATCAATAGAGCAAAGTAATTCTGAGATATCGGACACCGTTTGAATAACTATCGAAGAAATATTGAGAAGAATAGGACCGGGAAAAAAAATGAGGGTCTGCACATATACTAGTGTTTCTGAACCCGTTCGTGTTTGTGGAGAATGTAAGCGTCATCTACAGGATCATTTGCCCAGAGGAATCAGATTTAATTTACCGCGATGTAGGATAAAATAATATTACAAAATTACAATAATTAATTCTAGAATATTTATTTTCTCGTATTAAATTATTTATATAATAAAAGGTAAAATATATAATATAATAAAATATAAAATATACATACAAAATAAAATGTAAAATATATAATAAAATATATATGTATGTGATATCAAGAGGATACATTTAGATTCATTTTTTAGAGAAAGAGAGAGAAAAAAGAGAGGGAGGGAAGAGAGACAGATGAAAAAACATTGTTTTGATATTATTAATTGAAAATATAAAATCAGAACACATGCGACTTTTCCTTTCAATCAAATTCATTGTTTGTAGTGCGGTAAAAAATAACTCTCATATCGTGGACACGATTGAAAAATTGCGCAGATGAAGTAAACGCATAAATCATTAACGATGCATTCACTACGGTATTGTATGATGAAAAACGCGCATTCAGCGAGGGTGCTAGTCCCCGTTGAGCTATTCCCGTTTTGCTGCATCAAGAATAATAATTCGTGCTCCCTCGTGATCCCAAGGGAAATAAATTAAAAATCTGTCCAAGCCAGAATGCGCCTGTAAAAACAGATCTGACGATATGTTTCGTTCCGAATGATTTTCTTTCTCTGTTATTGGCGTTATTATTGAAGAAAATTTCATGTATTTTGTAATTGCGGCTTTTTGCAAGTTTGCAGCAGAACTTTAATTGTTCGTCTCGTTATGTTATAACGATATCATGAATTTCAAACTGTTTGTTATAAGATATTATTTTGTTTTTTTATTTCTTATTTAGCCTCAGAATGTTTTCGAATCTTTAAAATTTACCTAAATTATCTTTCATTAAATTACCTCTCTTTTAATTTTATTTTAATGATAATTATTTATATATTATTAAAACGATAAACTCTATTTATATATTTGCATTTTTTACTTATTTATATATATTTTACATTTTCATATTTTACACTTTATTATTTCCGCAAAATACATGAATATTAACGAGGTTTGCTTATTAAATCTGCTTATATGTATAATGGATATTATATGAAATATTGCACATTACAATACTCTTGTTTGACAATATATTTTTTTAGCGAGATATAACAACGGCAGTTTTATTGTTGACTTTTTTTTATGATCGATTATAACGGACGCTATAGAATTTGTTGTACAACGACGTTGTTTACAATGACGTGCGATGCTGCTTATGATAAACGTGTATTGTGTATATTCGTGCGCGATATTGATGCCACGTCCATTTTTAGGCGCGCTTCGAGTAGCAGACAAACCGCAACGCGCCATTATTCCGCATAGGACAAATTGAGTTTTTTTTTTGTTGTATTCTGCTTTGTCAACGATCGCTATATGATACGCTGGTACATCGTCGAATTAAAATGAACGGTGATCCTGAAGTGCAATCACACACAGAACGAGGCTACAAATTCATTTATTCTTTAAAAGAGCTGTGACATATTCTCTTTGAGTTTTATTGATAAATATGTTGAGAATCGAATGAACTTAATGATGTTTCCACGAGTATGAAATATTACAAAAAATAATAGTATATTATGTCTTTAATATCCAAATTGCAAGGTTTGTAAAACAAAACCTAATTTGCCATTTACCAAATCGACAATTTTTACAATGTGACATTATGGAGAAAATATAGACTGCACTTTAACATATTCTCTTCTCTAAATTGAATCGAGAAATTTTATTCGGTATGTTTGCACTAGAATTTACCCTCTGGACAAATATTGAATTAGTTTTATATAACGATCATTTGCATTTTGATTTTCATTATTCCATTGTTTTTGCACGTGTGTATATCATGCATAGCCGTGTAATTTAATAATAATTGTATCTTTATCCATTTGAGTTTAAAATGCGACTCGTGCAGAAAGAAGCAAAATCCTTGACTTTTACAGATTGCAATACCTCGTGTCGCAGATATTCGCAAAATATCCCATTCATGATAAATCAGGTTGACTGCTACGACCGTTTAATCTTGCGATCGTATAACTGGCGACACGAAACGTCGTCGAAATTAATGACTTGCAATTCTTCGCGAGATACACGATGGAGTCTCTTCCTCCAAGTATATACATACATATTATACATTTATATGTTTATATACAATCTCTTTAGTCATTTGACAAATTTTTGTGAATCTTACAGAATTACCATAGCAATACCGAAGTACCATTGCATTTATGCGCGTATTTTGGAATTTGCTTATTTAAAGTAAAACAAAATAATTTATATGAAACACACGCGTAAAAACATTTTACATATTTTTACATACATTTACATAAATACATGTTACATTCACATTTACGTAAAAATTTTGCAGCAAATATAGCCAAAAAAAATAAACATGAAGAATTAGAAATTATTACGATTTGTTAAATAAATTGTTTGTAAATTGTGACTTCTAGTTTTTACCATCGTGTTTACCCTTCGTCAAATATTAGCAGAGAATCATCAGCTCGTTGATCAGCTGGATTTCCTGGAAAGGTACAGGGATCCATTCCCATCGTCTGGAAACGGAGACCCTTCCAGAATCTCCTCAAGCAGAGGAGGGTGCCAGGTTTCAGGGAGATATAGACAGTCTATTGCCAGGAAAACTCGGGTTTCTTTGCGACCTCGCTCCCTAACCCCTTGCCGTCTATTAAAGTTGGTCGGTCGCGTATCACGTACACCCTCAATCTGAACATTTCCGCCCCAGATCGTGGCGAAATTTCACGATATGGCTATATGCACGGAAGTTTTAAAATATGTACGGAAGATATATTGCGAGAATGTGAAAAGAAGAGAAATCTCCTTAAGGGCACGACGGCGATTCCATGAAGGAGATTTCTGCTCCTTTAATATACAACGCTTGGTAAATGTATGCCAACCACGCGTATTACATATTTTCTGTGACATGTAAACGTGCTTGCAAATATATTTGTCGATTATGTAAAATGTAATGCGATAATTGTCCGAAATCACGCATTGGTATTTCTTAAATAAGATACTTTAAATAGTTACACTTTTATTCAAAATTAATGGTGCAGAATTAGAGATTACAGTTTATTGAATGAAGTACAAATATAACTAGTGCAAGTTGCGCATTTAAAATTTATTTTAGAAAAATATTAGACGCAAAATGTATTTCTAATTTGCTCAACCGCATCTTTCAATGTCAATCTTTATTTTTCATTACGCGATGTTTAATCCCTTTCGTATTTTACTCTTTTCTCATCGGTCAGAATGCGCTTGTTTATTGTTGGTTGCGGTTCTGTTGATCTTTAAATGCTCCATTTGCGGACGCAATTCTCGTCGAAACCAGAGAATAAATCAGGCGAAATGCAATACGCAAGGATGCACCAGCTTTCTGGTGTTGAATCTTTCCTCTTTCTCTCTCTCTCTCTCTCTCTCTCTCTCTCTCTCTCTCTCTCTCTCTCTCTCTCTCTCTCTCTCTCTCTCTCTCTCTCTAAAGATTTATCCTTTTCCTTCCGGTAATCTATGTTTCGAATTGAGATTTTCAAGAGAAATGTAGAGTTTCTCGAAAATGGCTCATCCTTTTTATGTATAAATGTCCTGCGATTTATATATAATAATAGTCGCACTTGTTGTTGAAAACTGGATGATCTATCATCTATCAAAATTTTCTCAGACGTCAGTTTTTGCAGTTTTTTCTAAGAAGATCAATATTAGACATAAGGTATATAGGATATTTTTGATAAAACTGCACATGCACAAATATTAGCGATGACTTTATTCTCACAAATATTTTGATAAAAAATTTTAATTAAATTCCTGATAAAAACTGTACATGAGATAAAGATAATTAAGATTAAAATTATTTCCCCGATCATACATAACAATGCGTCTCATTATAATATTTTCTAATTTACTTTATGTTTAATTAACATTTAAAACAAAGTGTAACTTAAGAAATTATTCCGTGATGATGTAAAAAAAGTGATTAATTTTGTCTTCTGCCTCACTCTTATTTCCCACAACTAAAAAAGATATTGCAGTTTTTAAAACTATAAATTACAATTATGTCTTATAAAGTGAAATTACAAAAAGTCAGTTCTTTTTTATCATAATATCATACAAAGGGTAAATATATTTATAAATAGAAATACCAAAATGTGTGTTTAATTGCAATGGGTGTTGTAATTAAATACGTGAGTGAAATAAATATTCCGTCATAATTTAATATTTAAAGATAGTCAAGAGGAAACTCTATGTAATATAAGGATAAAAGGGTAACGTATGCAAGAGCCAAAATAGGGTCAGCTGTCTTGTTGAAAAATTCATGATCATATCTTAGAAGCCTTTTTTCCTGTGTCCTCTTTCAAGGCATTCTACACCTTTACCGTTCGTCTATCGCTTTATAAAAATCCAGTTATCCTAGGCTCTTCTTCCTTTTTGCCTTATAAAAATAGAAAATATCTTTTACTCGGGTAATTAAGTGAAAACGCAAAAGTAACGGCGGGAGCAATTTTCAAGAGTTTGAGAAGAAAAGTTTGCGGAACGTCGTTATGTAATTTCCTTTGTTTGTCTAGAAACTTATAGAAACTTTCGCATAATAATAATAATACTTTTCAAGCATTACTTAGCATAGTTTTTGCCGATGGATTGCGCTTTTGCGTACCGCACCCCGCGAGCAATTTCTTTACTTGGCTAATGGAATTTCAGACTAAGAAACACAGGAATTTCAGTATTACTAAAGCATTTGAATGCTCTATTTGCGTAGGTTCGCGCCAAAGATCATTGATCGCAATTTAACTGTGCTTTTGTACAGCAGGTGGGCGACAGGGAAACGAAATGTTGGTTACACAACGCCCACCTCTCGTGAAAATTCACGGCGATCTCTGAAACCTCACTGAAATCTCCCACGCTCTGTTAGCCAAGATATAAATTTCAGCTTGTTCACTAGTAATCTTCTTTTTTCTTGCTTTCTCTTTTCTCTTGACTTGGAATAATTTAATCAACTTGTCTTTAACGTTGTGATGATATTAGCAATAATTTATGAATCTTTTATTCATTTTTCTCGGGAGTATGCATCAAGATATAAATAGGTGAATAAATTCTTTTAGATGATCGATTTTTATGCACTGATTATTTAAGCAACATCTTCCCTTTCTTACTTTTTTTTCGATAGAATTTATCAAAAATTCATAAGCGTGTCGAACAGACACTTTAAATATGTAAATATTTAATATCTAATACTATTTTAATACTGAGAAAGAGATTGTTTATAATAAATCTGGGCAAAGCAGAGAATGCTGATAACTGCGAAACAATTCATTCCGAGAAATTAACCGCGTTTATTGATTTCCGGTTAATTATTTTATGCATTCAAACATAAAATAAACGCTATTTTTAAATAGGATAAATCAACGCAAATATTAAATCTTTAATACTAAGTAAACTTTACACAATTTATAATAAAATATCTAAAATGCAATAGCGTTTTATCTAAAAACCTAGTTTTATTTGACTACGATTTTTATTCAGATTTTGTGATTTACTTCATTTTTAAACCTTCTTTTATTTATTTTATTATTTCTTTTTTTACTTTATTTATCTCATTTTGAAGTCTAATCATTTTCCATTAGAATAATATTTTAATTAATTTATCACATAATAAATTTTAACTTAATGAAAAATCATATCTCTTTTTTTCTTCAGGTTTTCACCGGCGCAGCAACGTGTTTTTATGCTTTCATAGGCTTTGACATAATAGCCACTACTGGTGAGGAAGCGACAAATCCGAAGAAGAGTATCCCGCTCGCCATAGTCTCATCATTGATCATAATTCTCATTGCTTACGTTACCAGTAGCATGGTACTGACACTGATTGGTGAGTAGGCCGTTAAATAATACATAACACTGTTAACATTTCAATTGACATGTGTATTTAGACGATTCGTCCTTGCAAATGCGATAATAAGCCGCCTTTTGTCGAGTAAAATGCATGTAGGATGTTTGAAAAAACATAGAAAGCCTGGACCTTTCAGAGATTCTTTTTGTACCTAGAAAAATTAAAAAATTCTTGAAATTTAAAAAAAATTGTAATTTGATATTATAATTTTAGATTATAATTTGATTTTGCTTTTATTTATCAATCGGCAATTCACTGATAAATCAGATTATAAATTAAAATATATTTAAAATATAATATAATATAATATAATATGATAATACATTAAATAATATAATATAATAAAATTAATAATGGTAATATATTAAATATAATATAATAAATATATATATTTATATGTTTATTATATATTTATATCTTCATTATATGAAATATAGTACAAGTATAATACAATACACAGTATAAAATGCAGTACATATTCTTTATTGTATTTTTTTAATGATAAAAAAATGAGAAATGTTTATCTCGTACAAAACCTATTTTCATTCATATTCACTTTCATATTCACTTTTATTCAATACATTTGCAAATCTAGTACCTGAAACCTACGTAGTTCTGTGTTTTTGCTTCGTATGAGTAAAAAAACATTAGAAAAGGTATATAGTAACTTATTTTTAAAAGATACACTAAAGAATATTTAATATATTCTCTTTAATTCTTTAGAATTTTTGAACAAAAATGTCTGAAATATCAGAAAATTTTCAAGGAATATTTTAATAAAATTGAATAGATACCCTGGTATTTTTTCGATATTATTTGTGACTTCGAATAATTATTGTTTTAGAATTATTTTAATCACTTTCAATATTTCGTATTCTCTTATATTTTTAATTCTCATACTCGTGAATCGAGTCATGGTTTCATCTCTTGGATTTTATAACTGTAGGAGCACTCAATAAGATGTTATTACAAACGAAATTTATTAAAGTTATGATTATCAAATATGTACTATTTTTATATTTTATATAAAATGGTTATTATTAATATTTTTTATTAATATACTTACTAATTTAATTATTATAACTATTAATATATTATAATTATTAATATAATTTATTTTTATTATTAATATTTTTAACTAAAATTTCTAAAAATAAATTTAATTTATATGATACCGTTTTATGAAACGAAAAGTAAGTTATCAAAATATTTTCCGACATGTTCGATTTGTTTGTGTTTCAGTTCCGTACGACCAGGTCGACCAGGATTCAGCGTTGGTGGAGATGTTCGGTCAAGTCGGGGCCTACAAGTGCAAATACATTGTCGCAGTTGGTGCACTGGCGGGCCTGACGGTCTCTATGTTTGGTAGCATGTTTCCAATGCCTAGGATAGTCTACGCCATGGCTCAGGATGGCCTTATATTTCGGTAATGATTTAAACGTAAATATTGTCGTTTATGTTACAAATTATATGATTCTTATCGCAAATATAATGAACATAATATAAATCTGAATTATCAAAATATATTAATAATAATAAACTTTATCTAATGTAAATAAAATTGCAATATAATTTAAACCAACATATCGTCGATATAATTTATTTATTTAATACGTTGAAAATCCATTACATAAAAAAGAAAATAAAAGGCTATTAAAATAGCATAAAAACACCAAAAAAGAATACAAAAAAAATAATAAAATAGAATAAAAATAATTTTGATTAAATTAAATTAAAAAAAAATATACAAATAAAAATTTAATTAGGCATATCAAATAGATTGTTTCAAAATATCTATAATGAAAATAGAATGATTCATTGTCACATGATTTAAGAGAACGACAATATAATTAATAGACTAGTGTAAATTTTTTGAGAGTGATTTTAATGAACATATTGTTTACTTACGTAGGAGCCTCAGCCATGTTTGGCCCGCGACGGGCACTCCCGCATTCGCGACTCTAACTTCCGGCATATGCGCTGCTTTTGCTGCGCTATTAATTCAGTTGGAAGTATTGGTAGAAATGATGTCGATCGGTAAGATATAATTCAAAATAATTTTTGAATGTCTAACCGATTGAAAAACATTTTTAATACTTTAATATTTTTAATATCGTAAAATTCTTTGAAATATAAAGTGACAAAGTATTTCTTGTATAATCTCATCAAACTAAGATTTATTATTGCTTCATTTTATTATCGATTAATAAAGATAAATCTGTTAATGGCTATTTAAAAAGCTTAACATTCTCCAAATATAATAAATATATTAGAAATTCATAATACTTTGAAAGATTTTTATTTTAAAATATATATGTTGTACACACTTATACTTATATTTCTATTACAGTAAATGTTATATTTTCCTTTGAAATATTGTCTATCATAGTTACAGCTCAAGTTTCAAGTATTCCCTTGCTAAGAGAAGAGAAAATATTATTTCAATGTTTAGATCATTCACGGCTTATATTTCAGGTACATTGCTAGCGTACACCCTAGTGTCCACCTGCGTGCTGATACTGCGATATCAGCCACACTCGACCAATCTGGTCGAGTTGCTGCCGCAGAGCCTGAGAACCCCGTGTCGATCGCCTACGAAGGAGACGCAAGGGAACGGTCAAGTATCTTATGGCAAGGAGCTCAGGCCCGATCAGCTTACGACCGCGTTGAATTCGGTCCAAGCGACCCAGTCGGAACTCACTACCACTAACAACGGACAACGTATCACGGTAAGACGTGCTCGGTGTTTGTACCACGAACATCTCCCATGTGATTAAAGAAGAAATTCCAGCTCAACGAAAAATTTCTCCAGTCTTATATTTCTCTCTTTTAGTTTCTATAGATTTGCGTTCTCTGACGATTTAAAAATGTGCACCGATTCACTTCTATTCTGGATTATTTTCGAGCAATTGCTCTCGAGAAATCTCCCTTTTTTCAATTTTTTATAATATTCTTTTTCTTTTTTTTTCTTTGCATACACATTTTTTTATATATTGATACAGTAATTTTTTTTTAAATAAGAGTGAGGCGATTTTTTTTATTATTTAAAATTTTCAAGATGATGACACCTTTCTCTTTCAATAGTGCAATATCGACTTCAGAGGAAATTATATAGTAAGAATGAGAGTGATCCGAATCTGCATTATTATTACAGGTGCGACGTGTAAGAAGATGCAATAGCTCATCGCCGGATTCGGACGACACGTACGGCGGCGAGGAGGACGATGTAGGACTAGGTAAGGATGACCAGTATCTCGTGAGCGACAGGACAGAAAATAAATTCTACGGCAGCGTGCATGCGGCCGCAGCAGCCTCGAGTTGCGGTAGCGCTCATCAGTATCCCGGAAACACGCCGATCATAGGACCACCGTTGAATTATCTACAGCGTCGGCTGCAGGTAGGATCGAAATCCAAATGTTAGGCAAAACAAAAATCCTTGGTGATAAAACTCGGAGAGAATATTTTAACTCTTTTCTCTTAAACATAAATAGAGCTTTTGATACACATTTGAAGAAAATTCTAACTTTAAAACTCGCTAAAATAAATAATTTTGATGCTTATGATATATTTTATATCCCTCAATTTTTTAAATATTATTTTGTACAGCTCTAATTTTGTCATATAAACAAATCGCACGTGAACTATTGTTTGTATAATGTAGATTAGATTATAATAGTTAATTATTTTAAAACTAATAAGTCATGACGCTTCGTAGGCGGCGCAATATCTTTGTCCTGCTATATTTCCATGGGTAGACAGAGGTCCTGCGACAGAAGCGTCAGGGCGTTATGTCATGAAGCTTGTTGGGATCTTATACTTATTGATCCTTATCTTTGACTTGATTATCGTTTGTGGAATGGGTAAGAAATTTACACTGTATATGTATGTATAATATATTAATTCTTGAAATGGATCAAAGTCTTAATTTCAATTTCCATATAAATTTTAATATAATAAAGAGAGGAGGAAAAAAAGATATATATATATTTTTTTCATATTTTATCTTGCATTAAATTGCAAAAAATATAGATAATTTTAAAATAATATTAAATCAGGAATCTTAAAAGATTTTTAAACATTTGATCAATTTCATGAATCAGTGTAAATATATTATTGTTTAATATTCTTTTTGTTTTTCATATTCTTTCTCTTTTTTTCAGGTAATATGGGGACATTCTCAACGATACTACTATTCCTCTTTCTTTTTGCCATAATCGGTATACTTCTCGCCATCAGTAGAAAGCCGCAAAATAGGTAAGATTATTAATTCGTAATCTCATATAATTTGCATGATCATAAAGTCTAGCCAAGTGTGAAATAATTTAACGAACTATGTATAATTAATTCCCGGCATTTCTTTCTTGTTTTAGAAATAGCGTAATGTTTATGACTCCGGGCTTACCTTTCGTCCCCGCGATCGCCGTTACCGTCAACATTTATCTCATTTTCAAGCTCAGCATCCTCACTTTAGTCAGATTTACGGTCTGGATGACTTTAGGTACAAAAAAATTATATCTTGTTCTTCTCTTAAAATATAAAATTTTATACAAATTACATATAAAGTTATTTATGAAGAAGAATACAAGTCGATTTTATTATTAATCTTGGATAGCTTAAATAGACGATTATACATTTCATCAATTAATTAAAACCACTTCTAACTGTCATTAGGTTTTATCATGTACTTCAATTACGGCATTAAGCATAGTAGTCTGGAGGAGGCCAACGCGTCGGAAAATGTCGACGACATCGTAGTCGGCACGGCTGGCAATATCGAGCTAACCGTCACCGATCACCATCGGCAAGCGCAAAAGCAGTACACGCCAGATCGTAGCATCTACGAGAGCCAACAGTTGGATGCGTTTGGCCAGCCAGTGTTCGGCAGCACGAACTTTGGCGGCACGCCAAACCAGCAGCAGCAGCAACAGCAACATATTGGAGGCTATCAACAGAGGCAAACGGCGAGCGGCCACCGCATCGACCAAACTGCGTCGACGACGACGACCTTGTTCATCGATCAGGAGAGCTTCCCCACTTGGGAAGATTGAGGAGCGTCGTACGAGCGATGCCGAGCGGATATTAATGTATACATAACACACGAATAGGAAAAAAGAGAGAGGGAGAAAGGTATTATTACACAACGCCTGATAAGCACGTTTGCGCGCGTGATTGGCATCGGATGATGATCACCGGTGACACTAGACCCTCCGGAGATTGCGATGATTTTGGATTCGAACTTTGACGATTGCGCGACGATCATCTTTCAGCAAATGAGAGTCGCATGCGCTTACAATATGGATAGAAAAATCATCTAGAATGCGTCTTCTAAAGGTATTTAGAAACATGACACATTGGTTATTGTTGACTAATTAATATTTAATAGACTTTTGAAATTAAAAATTTGAAATATTAATCTAATAATGAAGAAATTGTTAAATTTTTTGGAATTTCTTTAGTTTTTTCGAACACAGAGATGTCTTGATGAGAGACAAATTTATATAAATATTCGAATTTGTTGGAAATATTTAATATAATTATATGTTAACTACAATAAGTTAGACTTTGATCGATTTGTTCAGGTTTAATCACTTGTTCTTTTCAAAATATGCATGACATGATTATTGGGAAGATTTGATTGATCAGTCGAGACTAAAATCCGCGATACTCTGAGGGTCAGACTTGTTGACTACTATTTGGGACGAATGTAGCAAATAATTTTGCGGCAATATTTATTATTCTAGTTGTATAGTACCGTCGTTGTAGGCGAGGAGGAGGAGGAGAAAAAGGGAAAGGGGAACGCGACATTCCAAAAGATTAAAGATTAGAGGGATGAGAGAGAGAGAGAGGAATAGAGAGGAAGATGAAGAGACCATTATCATTAATAGTATAAGGCGAAACTTGTGTTTTCCAAGAGAGCGTTCTATAACTGCTAACATAAGTTCAAATTTATCGCTAGTTCGAAGCGAATGCGAGATGAGAATAACAGTGTTGTCGGAGCGAAAGGGTGACTGAAAGATACGAGAGAATGAGAAAAAAGATCAAATGAGAGACAAAATAAAACAAAGGAGACTAAAGCGTGCTTGAAAGAATGATGAGAGAGCATGTCCGAGCGAATCCGTAGAAGACTTTAATTGAACAAATAAGAAAAAAAAAACAGAAACGTCACACATCTCTTGCCTAACTTTAGTCTTTCCCTTAAAAAAAAACAAGTTTAGTCTAACATATTATAATCGTATACCCCTAAGCTTACTACATACTTACATACGTCTTACCTCGAGTAAATCCTTTGATTATTAATTTACACACAATTTGTATAAATTATCTAGGAATTAAGCGCTCGTCGCCTCCCAATGGATGAAGGATTTAAATTGATATTAACTCGATTTTGACGGGCTCACTGCAAGAAAAATAGATCTATTAAAAAAATTGATAGAAATAATAAAATTGTAATCTAATTCTATTTATTATTCTTTGCCTCATTTTTTTAAACAAAAGAGAATATAAAATTTAAAAAAATTGCTTCAAAGATTAAAAAATAAAAATATAAATTTCGAAAAAATAATAAGAATGAGATTTAGAGAGATAGTTCAGTTATCAGATATGTTCAGTTTTACAGAGATTAAATCTATTTTGAATTAATTTTTTTAATATGTCTGTTTCTCTTGTGGAAAAACAGACGGACGGGAGACGAGTCGAGAAAGAGAGAAAGAGAGAGAGAAAGAGAAAGAGTGAGAGAAAGAGAGAGAGAGAGAGAAATAAAATTTCATTTTCGTGTACATATCTTCGGTGTTTCGAGACAAACCGTTTCTTCGTACGTACGTGCACAAGTCCGTTGTGCTTCTCTGTCCGCTAGTGTGTTCCGCGCGATGAATCGAGAATCGCCTTCGATACTAATTAAAGTCGGGAAGATGCGCGCCCGTGTCTCCGATTCGAGCAGATTGCTTATTCATACTACGAGTGCCGGGCTAATTAGTTTCGAGATAATACGAGAATAAATCATATGACGTAATTATCCTCTCGTGCTTATTCTGTCTAATTAATACGATATTAATCCTGCAATTTAATTCATGAATCAATCGTCACAAAGTAAACTGATTGTGAGATCCAAAAAGACACAAAAGATGCGACACGCGATTGCGATAAAACGCTAGGAAAGCTATAATGGAACACTTATCGATCTGCGATATTGCGGAACAATTGAATAATGCGACCGGAAGATGCATAAGATTGGTTACCGAGAATTTATCACCAAGGACAAAGCGTGCTGTTGTATAGTTTGAGTCACGCACGGTGTAAAGGCGGAGGTTTTAATTTTTAATCTATTCTGGTAGTATAGTTTAATTGATAATTTTTAAGAATTTTTTTTTAAAGAATATTATAAATAATTTTATAATAATAAATTAATTTTCTGACGTTTTACATATATTTTTATTAATGTTTAAACTATGTATGTAGCGTATTTAAAAACAACAATACGACATGTTGCTTCTCGTATAATTGTCCGAAATAAATAAAAAAACTTGGTTTAGTTTCATATTCCCCAGAATATTTTCGGAATGCTGAACTTAATTAGAATTCAAAAAATTAATATTTAATATTTTTCTGACCTCCAAGAAATAAAAAAATTTTAGCAAAATTAAAATATCTAATTTTAAAATGATACTATTTTATTATTTTTTCATTTTATAAATTAAATTATTTATTATTATTTTATTATTAATAAATTTTATAATTTTTAAATTATTTTTTCTAAAATTAGATTCAGAATCCTAAAAATACATTCTACGAAATAAAACTAGACTGAGTTTTTTCATTTCAGATAATTACACGAGGAACAGTATGTCACAATCATTAATCCATGCGTTTTTAAACATGCTATGCGTTCGTGAAGTTCGTATTGAACAAAAAAAAGTTAAATATTTAAAATTAAAAAATACTGACATATTGTTTAAATATCAATAAAAACATATATAAAGTGCCAAGATCAATTTCTAATATTCTTCAAAAACAAAATTTCTAAAAATCATCATGTTAGAATAGAGCTCTTTCCCCTCGAAATGTATAAAGTTGTTATATATTGCACGTAAGGAATATTTTCATGTTATTATCGCTTTTCTCTCGTCATTTTTTCTTCTTTGCTCGTAACGGAGACACATGTTGTGCATACTATTCGACATTCGATCGTGCATCTTCCAGAAGAGCATCGCGACGTCGATTGCTCGAACGGGCGAAGGTCGTTGGCAGGTACGACGACTCCTCCCCCGCTTTCGCGAAACTGCATTTCTTCTCGTGTCTGTATTTACTTTTTGTCCAGCTGCTCCCAACCACTTTACTACTTCGTTGGGATGCATCGTCCGGCCGTGCGTGGAAATCGCAAATCCCGCGATTCGGCTCTCGAGTCGTCCGACACTCTCCGCGTCCCTTTCCCAGGTGAACGGAATTCGACGATAAGGCGACGATAGCAGGATCGATCGCTTAAACGAAATTGCTTCGAGGAGAAACACTGTGATTGAATAGAAATTATCGCGCGTTTAATCGATCGTTTAATGAAATATCGATGGGTCCGATTAGGAGAAAATTGATCATTGTTTATCGTTATAAGGATTATTCTTACGAGAAATAAAATTAATTAAATTACGATACAATATAAGATATCATTTAGCGATCGACAGAAAAGAAATAAGAGTTTACTTGCTCGAGATGCGTTTAATGTGCGTTGAAAAACATTTCTATTATACATGCAATATTTTTCTTTCGTAATAATTAAAACTGCTCTATTGTAATCCTTCGCGTACATTTCGGTCTTTGTAGTAGGAGCAAATTCTAAGGTCGATCATTCGCCCTGATTCCCTCTTGTGCTCGCGCGTGAATCCGTCAACGGGACCGATTAGGACCGTGATTAATTTCGCATGCGAGTGCGAAAAGTATATATATATTACGTATTCTGTGATCGAAATCTCTAACGACAATGGCGAACGTCGATCGTTTCAGGCGTAAAATTGATTCGAGGATCAAAAAAGGAGAGATACTCGACATGCTACAGGGGCAGGTCGAAAGCTCGCGCGAGTCTCGCTTTTTTATTCTCTACATATTGATCGACGTGATCCTTTCACATATCAGTCTTTATCCGCGACGCGGGAAAGTCGTGGAAACGTTGCGTGATTATATACAGTTAGCCTGCGCTGCATAGAGCGTACGACGTGATATATGTTCCAATATATACGTAGAATACTTTCTATACACACGAGACTGTTCGATTTTTTAGGTAACGGTAATATACATACACACATATCAAAGATATGGCCGCGCAAATTCACGCTCACGCTCCTAATTATAATTTTCATCAATTCGAATATCCATTTTTTTCTCGCTCTTTGTTTCAATTTAACTGAGACTCGAGAGGCTCTTTTCAGTCGAATAGAATTTTAATGTAAGAGCTATCAAGATATTCGATATGCAAAAAATTATTTTTAAAAAATTGCAATTAATTAAATCATTAATTGCAATTAATTGATAATATTTTAAAAAAATTGCAATTAATTAAATCAATTAATTGCAATTAATTGAATCATTGGATGAAAAAATTTCATTGCAAACGGAGCGCAAACGTGAATTTCGCGTTTGCAATGCAATTTACAATGCATGTTCCTTTTCTTTTTATCTTGATCCTCCACCCCTGTAATAATGTCGCGGATATCTTAGGGAATTGTTTTATTACACGCTGGATCTACGTCACCGTGATATGATTTTACGAGAAAACTGGACTCCTTACGAATACGATTTACGATCCAACTTATATGCGGCACTTTCCCCGAAAGCAAAGCACAAATTTGTGCCGCTTGACCGTTATATATATATTTAAACATATATGTATATCTATACCTTGTATTATATGCATGATGAAAAATATTACTAAGCAATCTTGAGCATTCTCGAAATAAAATTAGCAATCAATACGAGCAATGGAATCGAATGTGTTGGCATTCTCTTGTCCACGGTGACGTAACATGTGTCGCGTGTTGGAAGTTTATTCTGTGAAAGAATAGTGCCTGTATCACATCTCTCTCCAGATGTTAGACGAAACGTTAGAAATCCCTTCCTTTGAAATGGACAAGAAAATGTGGCGACCGAAATAACGTATTTAATGAAGGAGCTAATAATCTCATTTTTATGAAAATTGATTTCATCTCGTATAGATAAATTATCGTTATGTCATTAAATAGCGATGAATAAGCGTTTAACAAAGATGGTCCATAAACGCGTGATCTTGCAGTGATGTTTTAAAAATGCGGCGCATGAGTCAATTTTTACATTAAGCTGTAAAAGTGACCTCATATTAAATTATAAAACTAAGAATTATTACGGGAATCTCACTTAGAAGATATAATAGATTACAGTTTACGAGAATTACATTCTGGGACATATGAGAAAATATGGACATCAAGCGATTCCTATCCTAAATATTTAAATAAGTTGAGAAGTTATAATTTTGCAAATTCTTTTTCGACTTGGAAAGGATTTTAAATTGAACTTTAAAATCGGTTGCAGCATAATATGGCTTCCTTATATTTAGCTCGTTAATTCAAGTAAGCTATTTATGCAAATAATGTTATTAGTAAGCAGATTATATATTTCGATATACAGGGTGTCCCAGACTTAGCGAATCAGCTGTTAATGATAGATTCCTGAGCTCATTTGGAAACGGAAATCTTAATATCAAAATGTTGAGGAAAATGTTTCGGCGCTACAAAAGATTAAAGATTATCAATCGGCGCGTTACGTTCTTCTGTGCTTATCGCTATTAATAACTAATATCGTTATCGATAGAGGAATCAATATAAAATAAAAAATAGGATTCTGCAATGAGCGCGATTGTGTTTTCGATGCGACAGTAGTAGTTTGAACATTTTTATGAAGTCTTTCTCAACATTTTAGAATTTTCGTCTTCAAATGATCTCAGGAATCTGCTATTAACGGTTGATTCGTTAAATCTGGGACACCCTGTGTATGTTATGGGAAGAGAGTAAAATCATGTGCGAGCAAAACGATAAAGAGAACGCGACATTTTACTCTTTGCTCTTTTAATTAGTCCTTTGAATTCTTAGATAGGAGAAAATGGCCTATTGCACAGAATGATGAAACAATGTCGGCCGAGGTACAAACTATAAAATAAAATTTAAGTCACAGAGAATCCTCTGCTGCATTGAAACGAAAGCGATCTGAATGAATTGAAGCTCGAAAGATGTCTACTAAGAATCTTTGAAAAAAGTCAGGATATCTTTCGTCAAGTCGTTGTTTTAAAATCTATATAATTTAATCTGATGAAGGATGTTTTATTTAAAAATTTAGCAGATCAGAGAGATTTGCTCGTTTATCCACGTACCTTAAAATAGTAATTCACTGCAGAATACCTTGAGAGTTCAGATGGCTGTAAGTTGAAAGTATTAGCTTCTACGAGAAGACATGACGCGGAGAAATATTGCACTTTCAATAGAGGAAAACTATGTCACTTTTCAGTTACGAAGAAGTGATTTTACGAATTGATAATACTATATATCAAATGTGTAATATTGAGCAATAATGTTGTAGTTAAAACGATTCCTTTCCTCTTCCCCTCTTTAAATTGCATCTCGTGAAAAATAAATTCGCGATGATTCTTTTTTTTTTATTGCAAGTGTGATATATAATGAAAGATAGAATAAGCAATCGATGGCTAAGAAAAGTTTATTTTCAGGCCATAACAGCGATGTGTGCTCGATGTAAATGTACGAATGTAAAGAAAGGAGAAGTACGTCTTGTAGAAACGAAAAGAATGCTGAGAATGAGAAAAATTGTTAAGAGCCACGTAAACATACCTGTAACAAAACTGATTCAAAATAGAAAATACAATAGATATTTCTACAAAGCATACAACGGCGCAGCAATAACAAATTTAGCGCAAGTGATATTTACGTTATATATATTTTTCTCTTTGTTCTTGTCTAAAATTCCTACTCTGTGACTTAACAAACTGCACATTTCATTTTTGACACTTCAAATAACAGTGTAATGAAATCCGCTATAGATTCTGCGTTCTGGAAGCTGCATCCAGTATTGCGCGTCAATCATATCTTTGATTAAATAATGATATTATGAAAAAAAAACGGACATTATATCGATATTAAAAATTAACTCGTAGCGATTTTAATCTACGTAAGTAATTTGCGACAGCGCGTAACACACTTTGCAAATTCTACGAGTCGCTTGTTACGCGAAACTTACAAAAGCATTGTTCTTTGCGTGGAGGCGCGAATGATTCGGGAAGGTCCGAGATTACAAGCTCGGCGAGACGGCGACTTATACAAGATGTCAGGGCAATCTCTTCCCAAAAAACTCTTGTAATTTACCTCGAGAGCTCTTTAAAACACTGTAATAAAATATTTTTTTATCGAATACTTTTCAAGTTGAGGCTTGAAATAATCTCTTAATTTTATAAACTATAATATATCTAGTAAAATATTCATTTTTCGATTATCTTACCTTAATATTTTTATGTATAAAATAATGAGAGGAATCAATTGGTGTAAAGAAAACATATAATTGTTTCGAAGAAAAAATATGTAATTTACAATTAACAATTACATATTTTCTTTTCGAAACAATTATGTTTTCTTTACACCAATTGATTTCTCTTATTATTTTGTACATAAAAGTATTAAGGTAAGATAATCGAAAAATGAATATTTTACTAAATATTTTATGGTTTATGTAAAAATGAAGAAATTATTTCAAGCTTCATAACTCGAAAAAATACTCGACGAAAAAATACTTTATTATTTGTTTTGAAAAGCTCTCGAAGTAAGCTACAAGAAAAAATACTTTATTATGTGTTTTGAAAAGCTCTTGAGGTAAGCTACAAGAACTTTTTTTTGGACAGAGATTGCTCTGGCACTCTGTACATCGTCGAAAAGTGGAAATGCGAAAGCGTTCTTTGATGTCGGAAATTTCGTTGAGCGTCATCTTTCTCGCTATTTTGCCGAGAAAATACCAGAAAAGAATTTTGTTGTCCTTAAGAAAAGCAGAGAGAACGAGGAAGAAAGAGAAAATGAAAGAAAGAATGTGAAAAAGAGAAAGAAAGAAAGAGAGAGAGAAAGTATGTGAGTGTGAATGATGTATGATATACTTGTGCATGATGATACACTTTGTTTCTCTCGGGACGGTCGGGTGAAGGACACTCGAGGTATCTCGGGAAGATATATGCGCACGAGAAGGACAGAATTTTTCCATGTAATATATATACCCTTACGTAACTATATACGTTGTTTAATATTGATAAGGATCAAAAATAAAAGTGATTATTCAAAAGCTAAAACGGCCGATTATATTGGACATTTCCTACATATATGTGTATGTGTAAGTTGAGACAAACAAGCATGTTTAAAATATAATTATTCGCGAGCCTCGTCACAAAGTATTATTTACTCGAATCAAACAGATCTGCATACTTTTCGTATCTTTTTTCTATTATTTCTTGTCTATGATTTTATGGTGTATGTGAAATTTAATTAATTTATTTATTTTTAATGATTTTCTACGTGAAGTATAAATAACTTTGTGATGTAATGAGTATAAAATTAATGAGTATAAAATTACAAACAGAAAAATTAATATTATGGACTTATAATACATAAAACAATGCTATTAAAGTGAAAACTTTATTAATTTCAACATCAAAAGGCAAGTAAATCTATTTACATTTTTTAGATTACTATTAAACAGAAATAAAGTATTTTTTTTAACTAAAAGAATTATCGTGTAATTTTAAAAAAAAAATCGTGAAAAGTTCAATACGTATCTTCCAAATAAGAAAATAAATAGATAAAGAATTAATTGATGAATATTATAAAAAATATTTATTGATCAATATAATATAATGTTTTCTTGATCTTTCTAATTTTTAGGTGATTATCAAAGAAAAACAAATATAAGAAGAAAAAGAATATAATGCATAGATGAAGCCCTTTCCTCTGCAGCGCGGACAATGCGAAGTAGTAGTGACCTTTCATTGTCAGACTGTCTAGACGCGTCCAGTCAGTAGTTACGCACCCTCATTAGACAGACGATGTTTCTGACGCTGCAAGTGATAATGATGATCAGACGTCGATCTTTGTATTTATCGATTAGTAATTTTTGTCTTTGTATTCATGTATATAATTCTCTCGTCATTGAAATTTCTGACTCATCTGATTCTAATGTCCCTTATGTTGCAACATACGGAATTATCGGTGTGGAACGCGTTGTGACATCTAAAATATTCGGGGAATTATCGCCGCTATTTCCGTGGCATAATCAGACGTTGGCTGTTTTTGCGAGGTAAGACACTTGATGTCTACGATGTTTCACGAGGTAACTCGCTCTCGTCCACACGAGGAAAATGTCAAGGCTCCATTCTACGAAACGAGATAATTCTTTCCTCTAACACGCGAGCATTCGTGCGGCGCGTCTTGTCCGCTTTTTTAATGAAAAATGAAAACGAAAAATTGGAATGATTAGAAAGGAAAAAAGATTATATCATGTTTGTCTAAAAAATAAAATTTTATTTATTTCTTCTCTAAGGAAATAAAGATTTATAGACTTGAAATCCGTGATTGCGTCACTTGCAAAAATATTTCGTCAAATATTTCGTTTTTAATTTTGTATTTAATTTTGTTAAAAATTTATAGATTTAAAATACGTGATTGTCATTAAAAAAATATTTTGTTAAAACTACATTTTTGGTGATTAAATAATTGTAATAAATGTTTCTCAATCATGTCACACATTAATCTTATACTAAAATTAAATAGAGATTCTATATCTTTTCTGTAATATAAAAATTGCTATAGAATGTAACAAAAATGTTTTATGTGTCAAGTACACATTAATTTTACATTAGTCTCATTGAACGATAACAATATATTAAATAATTTTTTATGCAAATTAAATATTTATTACGCATCAATTTATGCAATTAATATTATGTATGAATTATGCAAAAATACTACAGTGCGCATAAACACACATCTAAATGCAACGCATATTATAGTCTGCTCTTTGTTAGGAAAGTGACTCTCGACCTGCAATTGCCATCCTCGTGCGAGAAGACGAACAAGGCTAACTGCAAATGGCATTTTTGACATTCATATAAATCTATCATCGCAAACCGGTGACACGCAACATCTTTTAATCATAAAATATTTACGCTATAAAATACAACATTGGTTATTTATGGTTACTATTATTAAAGATGACAATATTTAGGACATCTTTGCAAGATGCTTCTTTACATTACATGAAAAATAATATATATAAATTGATTTTTTATACTTAAGAGTATTGATAAATTTTATTTTAATTTAATTTTGAATAATAAAAATATATATAATTAATTTTTTTTATTTCCGCATTAATAGCTAATGTTATTTTTTAATTGCGCATTATATGCGAATTAAAATATGCTGCTGAATGAATGAAACTTAGAATGGAACGATTAATTTTTTCAGCTGTGATGTGTCACGTGATTGAAGGTCTTTGAGAGAAGGGCGGGACGATTACTTGTTACGGTCAGCGTTCCGCTAACGAGAAGACTTATGCGCGCGAGAGGCCATCCTCTCCCGCTTCTCATCCGAAGATGATAAAAGCATGTTAGGAGGTAGCAGCTCGTCGTAGTCCATCTTTCGGAATCGACCCAGGAGGAACGTGAAACGCATAAATTCAATAACTGACGATGGCCTCAAGACCGATCGTCCATCTGCTAATCGCCTGCGGCATTTTCGTCGTGACTACATGTGAGTAAAAAAATTACCCTCTCGTGTTCTTTAACACGGAGAAAGTGAATTCGTGTTCGTCTAGTCGACGATACATAGAAGAAGCATCTGTGCTCTTTTTCCAATTATCATTTTAATTCCGCAGTGAAGTGTTATGCAATGATACGAGTGACGACATTTTCTATTATATGTAGTTATTCGTGTAATAAATCGCTTCTTTTTATACAAATTTATTTTTACACATGGCACAAATTTTACCGTTGATTTTTTGTCTATTCACGAATGATACTATCGTTGAAGATAATAATATCAGGCTGTAAGATTCTTTCAATAGATCATGATAAATTAAAGCATTGTTTTTAAAGGATTAAATTTTTACACCAAATTGTAATAAATATTCAAACATGACTTTTAATCAAGTATACTAAAATAATAAAAATATGTAATACAGTGTTTTTTAATTTGCAACTATCTATTAATATGATTTATCACAATTATTAATTAAACATTTTAACGGTGAAAATTACAGATTTTTCTACCTCAAAAATTATAAAAAGTATATGTATATATTTTTATATAATATATATTTATATATATATTTTTTAAATATATATATAATATATATTTTTAAAACATATATGTGTATTATAATATTTTAAGTAATTACGCTATGCAATTTAAACAAGTTTAATAAGATTGGCTAAGAGCCAAAATGTTTAGGAAAATTCGTGTATGCTCATTCTTATGAATGCAAACGCGTCCTGAATAGTATTTTGCAGCCATGCGATCACAGGTATGCTCAGTCACGAACTGGTGATTTGTATGCGATGTGCTTGCACATTGTTAGAAAAATGAATTTTTTAAGCTTAAAGCTAGACAAGCATGAATACTTCTATCACGTGGATAAATTTGTACAGCTATATCGAGGACAGTTTCCGCTTAATAAATAAATATTGTTACGTTGTAAACCCTGGGGAAGAATATTTTTTTATTTTGTTTCTACGAAAGTGAAATAAAATGATTAACTTCAACCAGTAAAATTCTTTTTGTTCTCGGCAGACTAAAGGAATCCCCGATAGACGAACTGTTTAATGTTCGTGCTCGTCGGTTTAACGACGGATAATCGAATTTGTAATCAACGGAACTTTCTCCCATTGTTTGCGTTCACGTACCTTGTGCAATTTCTGCCCCGGGAAACATTTCTCGGGAATGCCTGACAGTTTTCGTGCACGAAACTATTGTCGTTGTTTCTCGACCTTTCGTGATATCCTGAGGCTAATATCGGACGTAGCTCTCTTTCCAGCTTGGAATATATCGTTTTAATTCTTTATTTGAAAAAGACAATGTCACAAAGAAAGCTTCCCAAATTACCTAATCAATTTTAGTTGTAACGTGCAATTTTACTTTTTATATTTCTTCTTTAAAAATGTTTGCTTAATTTCTGAAAGTATTTTTGACTCGATTTTGCCTGCGGCAAAATCGGTTACAAACAGCATACATTGCGTAAGCGATGCGCAGGTAACGCTAATGTATGCACATCACACAAACACATACGCGGCTTCATAGAGGTCGAGTGCTGGCTATCGCCGAACTTTCGCCATCGTGCGATAATCGCATCTTGCCACGTTACTGAACACGACTCATTAATAATTTCTGGTCGGACTCGTTTGACGAGTTTTATGCGCAATATTGCTTGCCGTTTAAATCAGAGTCTTAAGATTTTGATAGTTGAAACAAGTAAATGCTCAACCATGATATATAAAAAAAATCTCAGTCTTATTTAAGATAAGAATTTATAGGCGAAATTTTTCTACGAAAGATTTATCGTATTTCAGCGCTCAATCAAAATCCCAGGTTCTCGAATCAGCTGTTTAATAATCAGCTGAATCGCAACCAACAGCAATTTTCGCAGAAAGGCGGCTTATCTGCATCTTGTCCAGAGAGGAACGGTCGTTATCCAGTACCAAATCAATGCGATGCTTATATCGAGTGTATCGATGGAGTTGCTGAAGAAAAGTTATGTCCTGAGGGCTTATATTTCAATCCTGAGGCTCGCTTCAACTATCCTTGTGGATACCCGATTGACGTAGATTGCACGGGCAGGCCAAATTTGCGTAAGTTATTTACTATTACAATATCAATCTTTCATTCAATCTTTAATTTTTAATTATTTTGTGTGATAAAAATACATACAAATATTGTATTATTAAATTTTAATTCATAAAGTTCGATTCTTTCAAAATTATTGAAGCTCTATTAAATTAAAGATCACATGAATCACTCATATTAAATTAAAATTTGACTGTTGAATTTTTTTCAGAGAAAGCAAGTCCGACCGAGGATTGTCCCCATCAATACGGTTACTTCAAAATCGGCAATCATCAAAATTGCGGTCAATTTATGAATTGCGTGGACGGTCGGGGTTATGTCTTTGATTGTCCGGAAGGTCTGGCCTTCAATCCGGAATCGTATCGATGTGATTGGCCAGATCAGGTGTCGGATTGCGACGCCGAGGCTTTCCTTGGTTTTCGCTGTCCGGAGGTGAAAAATAGCCCATTCCTGGATGCTGAGATTAAGTTTTACCGCAGTACCGTCGACTGTCATCACTATTACATTTGCGTGAACGGCCGTCCACGATTACAGAATTGCGGCACGGGGAATGCCTTTAACGAGCTCATCGACGCCTGCGATGCCGCAGAAAATGTCACTGGCTGGTGAGTGATATTTAAGAACATCTATTGTGAATAAAATGTCAGATTGTTTTTCATTTATAAATTCTTTCACTAAAAGAAGAAAGATATAAATTATTATTATCCTATTTATTAGATTGACATAAAAGATAAAATTTAAAAGATAAAATTTAAGTTATTATATTTTTAAATGATACAACATATTCCAAGAGATATTTAAAAAATATTCATGTGGAAAATATATATATTACTATCTTTTATATAATTATCTAATTTATTATCACATATAAAACATTTATATTTTTCAAAATATTTTAATATTATAATGATTATACACTTTTTCGAGAATAATCTGCGTATAAGGTTGTTGACATTTATTTTAGTTAATAATATGCAATTTGTGGCTTAAATTAAACTTAAATTATTTTAAGTTAATATGCTTTTTTTAGTGAACACGAAGCGATAGCAAAAACTACTCCTACATATGGACAGGCGAAGCTTTTTTAAATTCAAGTCGAATGAAAAGTAAAAACAATGATAATAATTCCAAAAGAACAGTAATCAAGAGCTGCAAGAATAATAAGGTGTGTATCAAATTTCAATATGCAATACGACATATTTTAATAAGAAAGTTGCATGGTTGATGCAAATGATTGCATATCGCATATATTAAAAATGCATTATACTAATGGAGGATATATATAAAAGATTCAATTACAATTTATAATAAGTATATTCGTACAAATCGTATATCATATATGAGATGCCATAAGTAATGTATATATTAATGTATAAATCTCGTTTCCTCTCTTAAGTATATGTATTTAATGTAGAATTGTAAAACTCTTAATAAAAATATAAAATAAATATTCCTGCATTCTTCCCTTCTGCATGTCAATAAATAGTTTTTGCATAAGATTATTTTTACAAATGAAATGTAATATTATATGTTACTGACATAGTTACATAATATTAAAATTTTGAATTTAGTGCTTTGGCGAAATTAAATATTTTAATATAAATTTTATTGAATTCGACACATTTTTAACAATTATAGATAAAATTTAATACACTTTAATATTATTTCTTATTTTTAACAAATTGTAATTAAATTTTATGACATATTTAAGAATTAAAAATAAATAACGTCAGATTGAGGTTCTTCTTTTCAAAACACTAAATTTTTGCGTATATGGAAAAAAAGAAGTTTACAGAAAATACTTTAATAGAATATTATTTTTTTGAGAAAATATTCGATAGAAATAAATCGAAAGGATATTAGGAAATTTTTCTCTAATTCATATACAGGAAAAACGAAGCACAACATGGATTGATGAAAGAATATCATAGGCATATGTGTGCGTATAGAATATATAATTATTATTGACATAGTACAATTGCTTACAAAATAATAGCTATAGTTTTTTTTTCGAATATTATACGTCATTGCGTGCACGCGCAATATGTACATATATGAAAATTATCAACGAGTTACATATTCATTTTAGCGAGACGTACGAATTTCCTAGACTATCTAAATCGCTAGATAGTCCCGAAATGAAAAAACAGAATCCGTAAAAATATATATCTTTATATAATATATATTTATCTACGGTACTCTGTGTGAGATGTACTCGTTTGCACTTGTAATTAAAGCGCGTTAATTAATAGTAGGAAATTATAAAAACATGAACGAAAGATTACGCGAATTTTTTGTTGTAATCAACTTTTTTTATGATACATACCGAACAATAAAAATGAATATTAGTGAACATACGCATACTTAAATATTGCAAACTATAAGTTCGCAATCTTTCTTTCTTCGACTTTCTTACATGTAACATTGTAACGCATTTGTTAAATCGACTACGTCTTGCACGCTCGTTATTTCAAAATATCTACGTTATATCGAGCTAAATTCACATCTAGAAGATGCTTGAGCAACGATGTTACGTCTTATTGCACTTTTTTGGTACTACGAGAAATTGATTCGAGGAATTGAAGTACAAGTAGAACAAACAAGATGAGCGTTTACATCCGCGATATTTTATTCATAGGCACATTTTATTACGCGCGATAATTAAAATAATATTAATTATATATAAAATTTTATAAAAAAAAGTTTCTTATCAAAACGCACGTGCGTTAATTGCATATATAAAATAAAATTTTATATAAAATAAATTATATAAAATTTATATAAAATTTTTTATATAAATACTTATCAAAGATGAGTGATATTCAATGTGGGAATATTTTAATTAAAAATATTTTCATTTTTACATACATTTTTAAACGCATACCACACATTCTAACGTGCGAGGTATCATTGATTCATGACAAGAATTGATGGCCCGAGACCAGGAGATACAGAGGGTATATTTTATCAAAAATATATTTAATATTTTTTTATCTCGATATCGAATAAAATTATTCCTTTGATCAAGAAAGAAGCAGTTGTTTCCGGAAAAAAATATAAATATCGCGCTACGAGCGAGGTGCTAAGAGTAACGAGAGTAATCGTGGCGTAGTTTTTTCGGCAATATTCGGCAACGTATTTAAAAATTCACGCGTTATTGAATCAGTCGCACGAAGGATTAAAAAACTACTTTACGATCGCGCGATCGCGTCTTCGCTTAAAGTCTCTCTCGCGCCTCGAGAACAACCGTAGGAACCGATTCTTCGCTCTTTGACTTAACATTAACAGTGCGATTGTTTCAGATGCACGCACGAAATCCGCACCGCATCAGCTGCATCGACGATGTGCTTCCTCGTTTCTCACTTAATCCGACCAGCGATCGCGAGCTGATTGAATCGACATTAACTTTAATAAGTGTGAATCCAGCGCGAGGCGCTATGGCAATAGGGCTTAGGAGAAGAGAAGGGCCCTCTTCTTTGGGGCATGCTTACGTATTGCGCGTTAAAAAAAAAGAGTTATAAATATACTACTAGAGTCCTATGGAGGATTCACGAATTACCAAAATCAACAAAATCGAGCGTCGAGGAAACACGACGGAAAGGGAAACGCTCTCACCAGGACCGATTCCGACACTTCCGATTGCGCACGTCGTGACGGCAGCTCTGCGTCTCCTCGTCGAATGCCGTGCCTTCCTCGCACACGAATCGGAAGTCCAGCACCTGCCGCGAGGTAAAGCCGGGCGAGCAATAGTGAAACAGTCGACAGTCCCTGACGTCGCCGTAGAAGCGATACATCTCCTTCTCCAGGCAATTGAAGCTCGCTTGCTTCCGCGAGCTGGAGAATTTTCGGTTACTCGATCGAGGGATCAAGGATTCCGTCGTCGCCACAGGATCAATGTCTTCAGCTTTGAACTGGACGGTGGTCGAAGTCGAGATCGTCGAAGTTGGAATCGTCGAAATTGACGTCGGATGTTCGGAGGGAGTTTCTGTAACATACTGTTGATGATCTTTGCCGGCAGTCGTCGCGATCTCCACATCTTCTTCAGGGTATTCGTCGGTACTCGTCTCTTTGTACTCGGTATATGATTTTTCAAGAGGCAATGTTGTCAGGGGCAGCGAGGTCGTCGCGGAGATATCAATCTTCTCTGTAGTTTCCTGTTCAGTTTCCGGTTCAGTTTTCACTTTTATCGTTGTCTGCTCGATAGAAGACGCAAGGGTAGTCAGTCTAGACAAGAGATAGAGGGTGGAAGTCTCGATCTCTCTTGTTGCATCGACATGCTTTGAAGAGTTGACGGGGGAATTTTGCTCGGTCGGACTTGGAAATTGATCTTCCTTGTTTGTCCGATCGCTCTTCGCGGAAGAATCAATAGATACAGGGTCGTTCGCCTCCAGCTTACTCTCGAGAACATTTTCCTCGCTTCTACCAGACTCAGTTGTCGTTGTAATTGCTGCCACGTCATTGGGTTCTGTCGTAGCTTCCGTCGAATCGTCTGTATTTAATTTTTCCGCAATCGAAGCGGTGGTAGTAATAGTAGGTTTACGCGTCAGGGTGAGTTTCCTAATCACCGGCTTCGGTGCCAACTCGTTATAAGACTTGGGCGGTTTCGCCGGTTTCGGGTTAAATAAGCTCATTCTCGATTTAATTACGACCGGAACAGGAGTCGTCGTAGGAGGAGTGTAAGCGTAAATCCTCCTGTTCCCGACGGGTTTGAAAAGTTTCGGCGATGTGGGACGAGTGGTAGTAGTCGTCGGTCGAGGAGTAGTCGTAGTCGTCGGTCGAGGAGTAGTCGTAGTCGTAGTCGTAGTCGTAGTCGTAGTCGTGGTTGCAGTCGTACTCGTCGATGGCATCGTTGTGGTAGACACTGTTGTGCTCGATGCTGTTGTAGTAGTTAACAAAGTCGTAGTGAAACTTGCAACTTTTTCGAGATCTGCAACTTCCGTGACATTTTCTTCAGGTTTTGTCTGTGTTTCTGCTTCGTCATCGATCTGATGTGTCTCGAAATCATTTTCCTCAACTTTCTGTTCCGTAAAATCATTCGATTTAGTCGTAGTTTCCATTTCTCGGTAATTTTCCGGCTCGTAATTGTCATCAATATAATCATGCGAATTGTCTACAATTCCTTCCCTTTCGAATTCCTTCGGGTCAAAAGGGACCTTCATCTTCGAATCGTCGTCTATATCATCCGCCCTCGGTAATTCGTCCGTGAATTTTAAGATGCCTTCAGTGCTGCCTTGGGTATCTTCAGTCGAATCCATAACGTCCTGCTGAGAATCGGTGTATTCCTCGGAACTCGTGTAATCAATAGACATTGTATATTCCTCGGTGTTTTCCAGTCCTTTGTAATCTTCTTCGGTGCTAGTATCGCGCGAATTTTCCGCAGACAATTCTATTGTATCCGGATACTCGTTTGAATCTTCGTAATTTGTCTCGTGATTATATTTCATAGTCGAATGTGTCTCTTCGTTCAAATCATCAGTGCTCGTCTTCTCGCTTGAGTCTTCGTGATAAGACAGCTCTTCTTGTCCCGAATCGTCCTCGCGAGAAATCGCGGTTTCGCTGGAGGAAATCTTGTTAGGTGTCTCTTCGGAGCTCATTTCGAACTCTTTCTCTTTTGTATTCGCGTTGAACTCGTCTTCATCCAAAGTTTCGTATTCTCTTGAGAAAAATTCTTCATTGGACTTTTCCTCTTCAGAAACGTGAGTAATTTCCGTCGATTCCGTTGCGCTTTGCGGATTCTCGGTAAAGTTTGTGTCTTCTAAAGTAGCATATTCAGTTTTCTGCTCTGCTTCTACCGATTTATTTAGAGCATGTCGCTTTAAATCTTTCGCGCTCGTTTCCACAATTTGATGATCGAACGATCGCTCAATCTCTTTACTTTTTCCGACGTCGTTATTTTTACTGTCTTGCAAGCTTTTCGAATACGCGTTGCGTTGATCAATCGTTCTCGTATCGATTTCTTTAAAAGTTTGCGATTCTGGTTCTTCAAAAATGTGGCTATCGATTTGCTCAACTTTCGTCTCGAAAAGTGCGACAGATGGGGTAGTAGATGTGGTAGTAATAATACTAGCAATAGTAGTAGCAATAGTAGTCGTTTCATCCATTTCGTCTTTCTGTTGAATCGTCTCTGTCAGTTCGACATTGTTCGTTTTTTGCTTTATTTTCGAAGATATGCGTCTTCTTGAGGCTCTCGCTCGAGGAACCTTTCTTCTCGGACCGGACTTTCCTTCTCTAGAATCCTTAGCATTTTTTCGCTCGATCGTTTCTTGTGAAACTCTCAGTTGTTTCTCTTGGTCGGTTATGAAGCTCGTTCGTTTCTCCGATTCATCTTTTGTCAAGTGTCTTGTCAGCTGTTCGTTATGTATAACTTTTTTGTCAATCCCCGATATATCATGCAAGTCAGATTTACTTTCCTCTTCAATAATAATCTCGACAGGAGCGTTAGTCTTGGACATCTGGACGAAATCAGAATTCGTAGTTTTTACTTTAAAGTCATTATCGGAATCAAGTATTATTACGTCTATATCATCCTTGAAAGATTTGTTTTCTTCAGAACGAGCGGTTGTGAGTTCAACGTTAGCTTCGAATTTTAATTTGCAGTCCGATTCTGATGTATTTTTAATATGTTTTTTCTTGTCTGATAATTTTTCAGCATCAGCCTCGACATTTGAAGACAAATCCTCGTGACTCGATTTTGCATCCTCTTGTTCTTCATCTTCTTCTTTATCAAACGCTAAATATTTCGAAGCGTCTGTCTTTAAATCTTCTAAAACGTCCACTTTTTCTATCGCGATATCTTTCGTCCGTTGTACAGATTTCGCGTCGAGAATCTCGCTATCTTTCGCGACGTGTTTAGCAGTATTTCTAATTTCATCAGCAATATTGCGAAAAGCATCCTCGTCCGCCTCGTCGCTGAATAGGATATCTCTAAACTTCATCAGACTCTCCTTAATAGCTCGGAAATCTCCGATCTCGACATGTGTATCTTCCACGTTCGTCGCTTCATCCTCGTTCCGACGCGATTCACTCCTTCGTATCGTTTTAAAATCCTCATCTTGACTATTCGCGCCGTTGATCAAATGATAGAGCTGACCGTGAGATCGTTTCTTACGCGAGAGTCGTATCTTGTTCATCGCGCTTCTCGCGATCTGTCGATTCTTGGGTATTTTCGGAACATCGCGGTAAAACGGATCGAAGGACTCGTCGCCCTCCTTGTAATCGTCGTAGCTGGCCGGTATCGTCGGCAACGGCAACGTCACCAATTGCGTGGTGTTTAAAGGCCTACCGGACTCGTCGCTCACGCTTGCTTTTGCTGTGACAATCACCCGCGATTGCGACGGCAACAGCGGCGATGGATTCTGTACGATTCTCTGAATATCCGCTGGTGGTAGATTTATGGTGATCTGATGGGGCTTGAGCTGCGGCACCGTCACGCCTGGCGAATTCACCCGGTGAATGGCCCGTTGGGTAACCGACTGCGAGGGTTTCGGCGAAGGTCTCGGCGTCGGATAAAACGATCTGACAGTCGTCTCGATAGTCGTTGGAGATGTTGGCAAAAAATTGTCAGAGATCCTCTGCTGCTGCGACGTTTGACTCATCTTCGTCTGCGTACGAGACGACTCTTGCAAGCTCGGAACCGGAGATATCGTCAACTTGGATACCTGAAATAAGAGATGAAACGAATTTTCTTCTCCATTTCTCTCTTTCTTTTTGATAATTTTATTAAAAGTTCTTTATTGAAGTATACGTTGCCTTCGTATTGCGTTAAGCAAATTATATAAATTCATTTATGTCGTAAATTATATATAAATTATACATCTCATTTAAGAATATTTTTATCGAAATTTAAGTTAAAAGAATCTTGAAATTCAAATCGAAAAATCAAATGCAAAAATTAAAGAGAATTATTGCACCTTTCCCTTATTAGTCGGTTGTATCGCCTCCAGTGACCCTATACTTTCGCGATCATCCTCGTCGCGATAGTCTGCGGTCTCACGTGGATTATTGCTGTGCACGGTGAACTCGGTGGTGCTCGCGATACCGTGATGATGAAAGATAGGATTGATCAAGACCGGGCTGTTAGCATTACTGTTGAGCAGAGTTTGTATCGTAGCGGGAGACGTATGGTACAGCGGCGTCACGGTCGATGCTTCGTTGTGTTGAATGATCTGCGGTGGCGGACCCACCGTCGAGGTGTATCTGATCTGCGAGTGGATCTGCGGAGTCGGTGTCGTCGAGCTAACGGCGCCCTGACTGCTAAACAGCTGGTATGATGTAGCCTGATTGTTGACGCGTTCGCCACCGTTGTGGAAGATGTACTGATGATGGTAGCCGCCGTTCTTGTCATCGTACAGCGACTTGGACTGACTTGTATGGACCTGGGGGAACGGCGGTTGGGGCTGATAGTGCTGCGGATAACCAGCAGGATGTTGGAAGGAACCGCTCGCGACGGTGGTGGACGATGGCTTGCCGGACCGAGACGTAGTCATGGGGCTGGGGGTAGTCGAGGTTGTGCTGGGTCGCGCCGAGGTCGTTCGTTGCTGATGATCTTCCGCTGGATGATCCGTAAGATCGTCCTCGCCGTCATCATCGTTCTCATGAAGGCTGCGAGTGGAGAAGAGAGTAAAAGAGTAGTCCATAAGAAGCTTAACCAGTTGTTACAGGAAATTCAACCGTGCGACTTGTAGGCTGCGGTTTCAAGTGTCCAGAAACGTGGATAAATCTTGAAATTATCAGAAAAAAAATTCCCGACGTCGATAGCAAGAGAGCCGCGTCAGAATGTCGCAGAAATCCCAAACGCATTTCTGAACCAGTCGCACGCTCGTGTTCGGGAATAGCGCGAGATAGCCGCTTCCAGGTAACGACCGTTGTTAATCGGACGACACTGACGGATGATAATAACGACATTAACCGTATAAGGTCACAGACGGAGAAGCGGGGTAAGGAGAGTCGCGCGGGAAACGAGATTTACTTTGGCTAAAAATAGACGACCGTCAATGACTAAGCAGCCGCGTCGTCGAACGGAGCGTATAAATTTCGTCGCCGTGACAGGTTCATCGTTACAATTTTTATCCGAATACATGCATGCACTATCGTCCAGTCGGCGCGAGAGGAGAGGACTCTGGCACATTCCTGAGATACCGGCCGCGAGTGAAGGAAAGCCAGTTGAAGTATTTATGGATGCCCAAGTATTTACGGGCATGCCTTTTATAGCCCGCAATTTTGCGCTGTACATCCGACTCGTCTAAGGTATAAGGCACTTAGGGAAAAATGCATACGCGAGTTGCACGAATTGAAAATATGCGACTTAGAGTGCTGAAGGGGACTTTGAAAGCGTGCCGTATGTTTTTTTTTTCACCGCAACACATTATGCGATTTTATCTCTAGGCGTTGCTTCGGATACGTTGCATAAACGAAACGAAGCGAGAAAAATATAGCAACGAAAGCTAAGCGAGGATTTTTTTAAATTTGACTTGGTATTACATCACACGTACAGGATGTTCGGTAACATTTGCGCGAATTCAATTTTGAAATTCATTGATAAATTTAAAATTGATTTTTCTCTTTCTTTTTTTAGAAAGAATTTCTTTTCGATATCTTATATTTTTAATTAATAATTATATATTTTATAATTAATAATAATTATATATTTCTACAAAATTAATAATTATACATTTTAGCCTTAATAATTATATATTTCTAAAGAAAATTAAAAAAATAAAATTTAAAACAAAATTTTTAGATTTAAATTTAGAATAGTAAAATTTTGTTACTTGTTATATCCAAGAAATTTATATAATTTTAATTACATATATTTATTCATACATTTTACAAGCTAAAGATAAATTAAACGAGCAGTGTTTGCTGTAGATAATTTCAAAATTATCTAGATAAAGATAAAATTCCGTAAATTTATCTTAGATGAGATAAAAATAATTTTGCTTTTACTTAATCTAGATGAAAGATGAGATGATTATTGCGATAATCTAGATAATTATCTAGATATTTTTGTTTATTTTATAAGACTATAAATATTTGTAAAAAATGTGACGAAGATTATAAATGGAATATTAAAATCATAAACACATATCCTTTCTCTTTTCCTAAAGAATATTTAAATAATAACAAAAAAATATATAAATGATATGATAAATTTATTTATTAATTTATATTTATAATATATTTATAATATATTTATAATATATTTATAATATATTTATAATATAATAATCAATGTGTAACAATATATATATCATTTTTATAAAATATAATATACATTAATGCATTGCATAAATTTAAGTAAAACAAGTACAAGATAAAGTATATTTGTAATATTATTTTCCAAATAAAAAATATATTTTAAATATTTTAGATAGATTTTTAGAAGCTTGCCTGGAAAACTCTTTGCATAATGAAAACGTCATCTTAGACAATTTTTAGATAAGATGACATATTTTTTTACCTAAGATAAAGATAAAGATACTTTGTATTTCTTCATCTAGTTAAAGATAAAGATGATCTATTTCTTTATCTAGATAATTATCTAGATAATTTTATCTAGATATCAGCAAACAGTAAACGAGACATGTTCGGTGTATCTATCATTCTACGAGTAAACTGTAGTGAATATTAGAATACTTTATATGTGACCGGCAAAGCGATCAATGTGTGCAATAATTTATTTCATTCGATAATTTCTGCTCGCAGCAACTTGCGAAATCGGAAAATCGATTAGGACGACTGGTTTGGAGAACATATCATTGATATTATTTTTCGCGAATCGTCGAATTGTCATTAACCCTGTGTCACCTGATCAATAATTTATCTTGTCATTGATTTACCGGAAAACTTGATTTATAAAGTGGAAAGAGCGAGATTGCAACATGGATTTTTACCTGAGCGTGACGGCGTTATTGCCATAGAGCTCCAGATTCAGATTGTAGAATCGCTCGCTCTTACTGCAATCGACTTCGTCGACTCTCTCGCAGACTCTTGTTTCCTGGTCGAAGACGGTCCCATTCAGACAGAGGAACTTTATATCCATGATCTCGTCTGAAACCAGATCTCACGGTGAAGAAGAGGGTATCATTATTTGGGGATACTCTGGGCTTTCTAAAACGCGTTCTTTGGGTTAAAATTTCACCGAGACACTTGTATTTTATTATTCGTTTCTTGATTATTAGTTAAAAGAAGGGTATACTTTCGAGCGCGATTTTTCGCATTAAAATTGCACATTCGAGTTTCTACTAAGAATACAATAAACTATTTTTGAAGAAACGCGTGTCTTGTTCATCTTAAAGATATTTGACAAAATTATATTGACCGAACTTCCAGACAAAATTATACACGTCGCGCTCACCTCGCGATCCAGTCCATAAAATCCATCTTATATAGGTAATTATGCAAATCGTTTTATATGTCAAGCGTTCACGATATCACGACGAATGATCATAATCGGCTCCTTCTACATCTCTGGTTGAGAGTCGACCCAGACTTGTCGCGGACACAGATCCGGTATATTAGAATTAGAAGCGGTAATTAATAGTGGTGCGAATCTATTTAAGGCCGTCACGCATATCGATGATAAGTAGATCATTTCGACAAGTCCGGCCGAAGGTCCCGTCCAAGTTTCGTAATCAATCGGAAGATCGTTTTACAACGAGAATGTCACGGTCGCCGAGAAACGTTTACTGACCTAAGCCGAGAGTCTGGCTCTGATTCGTCACGAGAAGTCGTTCGCGAATACGATCTCGAGAATTCAAATCTCATTAACTGGAATTAACGTTTCTGCCGAAAAAGCGAAGAATTCAGAAATATATATAATTTAAAGCATTTAAAAGAACATTTTTCTATTATTGAGATTTTTATTTTATAGATTTTGATTTTTGTATTTGAGAATCCCGTCTTTGTAATGTAAAATTACCTTTCTGACCGATAGTGCAGACGTGAAACATTTGACAGCCCGCCTCGACATCCGCGTAATATCCACCAATCACCTTTCCTTGACACGAGAAGTTCGTCTCCGGTAGGTTGTCGAAGTCCAGATACTTGAAAAATCAAAAATCCGGCGAGTTAGCGAAAAGAAAATTCAGCTTTTCGTTGCGATGAGTCAAGAAAAGTTTAAATAAATGATTTTAATTTCATTTAAATTTTATAGACACTTACGCCAGGTTCCCCCGCGCTGCATAATAAACGGCCATGATGGAGATTAAGGATCGACATGAAAACTGAAAAACAAAGAAAAAAGGAATGTGAGGGAATAGAAATATGCAATTATTTAAAAGTAAAAATTTAAGTAAAAATTATTATATTTAAGTAAAAATTATATTATAAATTTAAATAGAAATTATATTTAAGTAAAAATAATTTTTAGTAAAAAATCCAAAATATTAGAAATATTAGAAATATTTAGAATTCCTTTGAATACTCGTTCAAAGTGAATTTCAACTAATAGATTGAATAAGGAAAAAAATTTCGCGCACATTATTCTAATCCAACATAGCTTTTACAAAATTTAACGTTTCAAAATTTTATGAAAAATAGCAATACATTTCTACTTTTATATTGTTAGAGTATCATATTTATATATTTCTCCAGAGCTTGATTCTCGTTTAAAATATGTTCTCTTGTGCTATTGGAGACATTTAAATCTGATACATAATATTTATGTGATTATATATCGATGAAATAATAAGAGAAAAATTATTTTTTCTAAAAGATAAAATCCTGCTTGCCACCGATCTATTCGGTACAACAGTAATTTATGCAGTTGTGAAATCGTAGGTCCACGGTCCCCTGTGAACCCCGGTTGCATTAGTTGCGACTATAATTATGTACAACTATCGTCACGCATCGACGATAGGTTAATGCTCCAGAAATTCGAGTTTATAATTTCGATCGACTTATATATAACTCATGTATAACATAATTCTGCGTAAATGTAACGTTACGTAAACGCGGTTAAAGTAAAGAAAAAAATTACATCAAGTCAGACATAGATTAATGAGATACGATTAAATGAATATTAATTAAGATGAGTTTAAAATTAAGCTGAATATAAAAAAGCTACAGAAATAACAATAATTGCATTTAAAAGCAAATCTATTTCTTATTATATAGATAATAAAATTTCTTTCTTGTTTCTATCGAATATTAGAGAAGCTTCGTGAAAAGAATAACAAATTAAAATATAATCAAAAAGTAATAAGATACTAGAATAGACGACTTTCACCTCGCTTATCTAACACGCGCCACAGACAGGTGTTAATTGTTACCGTCAGATTAAATTATATTCGTCACGCTGACTCTGTCCCGTGCTCAATTATAGTTCGCTAATAATTTTCTTTGGTTATTCAAATTGCAATCCGTATTTTTTATCAATAAGCATTTATATAACGCGACTGTATAATTGATTTATGGAGCATAACGCTTCATTAATAACGCTTCGACGCAAAAGTATAGTATATTAGATTTATAAATATACATATACGATGATATCTCAGATAGATAATTAGTTTTATTTTCTAGAAACATATATTAAATATTCAAAACACAAAATAAATTAAAAGATTAAAATAATAAAATAATAATAAAATATTAAATAATTATTTAATACTAATAAAATATTAAATAATTATTTAATCAGATATTAAATAATTATTTAAATACTACTGTCCACTTTTTAAAATGCAGATTTGTTTATAAATAAGATACATCGATCATTTCAATTATATCATAGTTCAATTATATCATACTTATATCATGGTTTGTCAATTATTTCTGAACGTTTAGCTTCGTCTACTCCACAATTTGACTAGGAAGTTTTCTTTTATAGCACATAAATCGCACCTGTTTGCGCTGTCATGCTTGATAACACGCTTGATCGGAATATGTCGCAGCCGTTTCTGTCAAATGGAGAGGACTATCCGGACTCGATAACTTACGAGCGACTTTTAATTTCCATATGAAAAGACGAGCAGACCTTTCACTGAGTGGCGCTTATAAAATATATATCCACGTGCTCCAGCGCAAGATTGTAAAATCGTTCGATCTCGATACATTCGATGATGTAATAATTTCAATAAAAAGGCGAAAGGAAATGAGAGAGAGGGAGTGAAAGAGAGAAAGAGATGATGTAAGTCGGCGTGAAACAAAAACAACTGCACGATAGTTAAAGTACTCTCTCATCGGATGTTTCGCCAATTATTTTTTACATATGCTGACCTTTCGTTCGACGATGTCTGACCGCGACGTCATGCGACGTTAGTTTCCATCAGTTTCACCGCGGCCAACGTCGTTAATAATGCTGCATAGCTTTCTCGAGGAGAAAGAATATTTATCTTCGTCGATGTCATCCGAATCGGGAGTATGATAATGAAGACATTTGATGATTTCATTAAACATGGACCATTTTTGCGATTGATATTCTTCAATGATTACTTGACATATCCTACTCATGTATATCGCAGCGAATAATTTGTCTTACAGAATGAGTAGAACTCTCTTTCTCGATATAAATTCTATTCTCACTGATTATTTTATATTAAACTCGGCGCTAAATAAAATTGTTATGTTTAAATCGTAAAAATTTATAGACGTTTTAAATGGTTCGACTAACACTACATGTTTATGTATTGCAGAGATAAAGTCTACGGACTTCCGGATGCTGAGAATGAAAGGGATATATGGATCGATCCATGTAAACGCGTCTCGTATATAAGAAGCTAAAAAGGGAAAGGAGGAAGAAATGGAAAGCGCGATCGTGGCGCACACACGTCAGGATTCCATGCTAGAAACCGAAATTTCATAAATAATTCCTGGGGCATACCGCGCTCGGCCGACTGTGACGAAGTTCCTTGAAACTCCTCTCCGACTTTTCTGCTCTAATCTAGTTGGTCGTCCATGGACATTTGCTTTCATTGATCGCGAACAACTCGATATTCTACGCTTGCTGCACGAAAGATCGCGAGTCTCTCCTCATTTCATTTTGCGCCGCTTGGCATTCGAAAAAGTTTAAACGTTTAAGTCATTACGATCATGATTTCATAATCTGCCGGTATTTTGAATTGGTGTCAAGGAATTTTTGCTCACGAACGTTTGCGCAATATATTAATATTGCAAATTAATAACTTAATTTAAGTGTGAAAAAGGAAATTTGTTACGATTTCAAAAAAAAAAGAAAGATAAGTGATTCCATCTTTTATTTACATTATTTTCAATTTGAAAAGAATATATATATATATAAATTAAAAATAATTATAATAAAATATTAACATATTAAAATATTTCACGTGAGAGAAAGAGAGAGAGAGAGAGAGAGAATATTAATCTGTCAAAAAATTTTTGCCGAATGTGCTCTACATTAAATATTGCAAATTAATAATTTAAGTATGAAAAAAGGAAGACAATTTATTATAAATTCACAAAGCAAAAGAGAAAGTCAATCTTTTATTTATTACAAAAACACATCATTATTTAAAAAATATATATATAATTGTTAATTGCAAATTACATATTTTTTTTTCGAAAAATTATGTGTTTTAATTATGTGTTTTCTTTATATCAATTAATTCCTTTCATTATTTTGTACATAAGTATTAAGATAAGATAATCGAAAAATGAATATTTTACTAGATATTTTATGGTTTATGTAAAATTAAGAGATTATTTCTCAAGCCTCATAACTCGAAAAGTACTCGATGAAAAAATACTTTATTATAGTGTTTTGAAAAACTCTCGAGGAAAGCTACAAGAACTTTTTTTGGGAAGAGATTGTTCTGACACCCTATATATGTATATATATATATATATATATATATATATATATATATATATATATAGTTTTCAGATTATTAATTTCAGATTAAAAATAATCTAAATAAAAGATGGAAAAGAGATGGATCACATATATGTATACATAAATTATATAAATAATTGGAGTAAAATATAAAAATATTCGACGAGAGGATATTAATTCTTAAAAGAGGACATTAATCCTATTTGAAAAGGCCAGGTATAAATAAAAGCGATTTGTTATGATTTATGTGTCTGCAATATATATCGCGATGTCGTATTATATCAATCACAATATAGAACTCGTATAATTACACACACATATTTTTAGAACAATTTATTTTTCCACGAGGATACACAAAGTGACATATTTATTCCACCGTTGCGATCGACGTGATCGTTAATCATCATCGTCGGTTATTTCTCGATGCCGTGGCTGGAAAACTGATGCTGTGCTACGATATAAGCACACGGTAGAAGCGCACGTGGCGCATTACATCGCGGCGCACGGCAATAATAATCACTTCAGCTTTCGTTTATCGCAATTTTCGCTTAATGGCATACACTGTCTACGGCGACCGAGGAGGAACGATTCCGTTGTAATGCATAGTTGCTGTGGCACCATCGTGTAACGTCGTGCGGCAGATGTAAAAGTCCAGATACGTATGCATCAAAGCGAGAGCTTGCTTGCTTTTTTTCTCACCACATAAGGTATGCATAGACGTGCACTGCGTAGAGGCGTAATTCCCGAAGAAGAAGCGCGTTGAAGCCAGGTGATATAACCCTTAGCGCGTAATACCTGTGTGAATCTCGTGACATTTAGATCTCTGCCAGAGCTTGGCCGGCTCGTTACTCGTCTTCGCGTGCGCGCGCGGACTCTTGACAATCTCTCTCTCTCTTTCTCTCCCCGCGATTTCGTCAATAAATTATCTTCGTATCATTTATCTACGCGCAGAGTGATCTTGATGAGTGGACCGTTTCATAAGCCCATCAGATGACGCGAGAACGGATGAGCACAATGTTTCTATCTTTATGACGTTTGATTATCTGTGATTCATGTATGTGCAATGTGTTAATTAAATAAAATAGCGATCATTTGAATATTTCAAAGACGTTACAAAAGTATCAAAGGGCAATTAGGAAATGTGAGAATCTATTTTTTTCTCTCTTCTAAATTGGCAAGATTCAATATCTTTTAATATTACGAAGAATTTATCTTATTATAAATATACACATATTTGTGTATATTATATAATATTTATAATATTTATAATATATTATATAATTTATAATATAATATTTGTGTATAATATATAAAATGATTATGCATTTCGCATAATTAATAAATTAGATGTTTTAATGAAAATAGCAATTTATTATTTTTGTTTAAAAATAAATGAAAAAATATTCATATTGTCTGTACAGGAGAACACAT